TCCAAAAAAAATCTAATTTTGAAAAAAAAAAAAAAAAAGAATTCTGAACTTGAAATCATGGAAGCTCATGAGATGGTTTAAGACAGAGTTGAAGCAAACCCAACTGTGTAATGAGGTCAAACAGGTAACCTAAATATGAAAATTAGATAGCATGGAGTGTGGTAGGACTGATGGCTGACCTCAGAATGGGTACCAGTCCTGCCTAAATGTTCCATTTTTTAACATATCTTGTCAGTCAGAGTATGGGATGGGAAAAGCTACTTACTCTGAAGTTGTAGACAGAGAAGACAAGGCTGTGAAGAAAAGGAAAGGTGGGTGAGAGAACTGGGAGTCACCGCACCAGGCAGAGCTTGAAGAAGGGAGGCCGTCTGAATGGTGGACTGTGGCAGAAGTGTCAGTGGCCTGAGAGCTGGGATGAGGCAGTCACTGTGAGCCCAGGGAGACCTGCCCCTTCGGGACAGAGAGACAGAGTTTCAGGTGGGAATGGCAGTCAGAAAAGGAAGTTGGTAACCAGCAATTTCTGCTCTCGGATGTTTGCAGTGGAGAAAAGAGAATTAGTAACTGGTGGGGAAACAGGGTTGAAGGAACATTCTAGTCTGAAGATAGGGGAGTCTTAAGGCCTCAGTAGGCGAAGACATAAAAGACCCAAGGAAATTAAAAGAGGTAATTAATAGCACATGGTGTAATAATATATTGGAAGCATAGGCTCAAAATCACAGATGGAAAGGGTTACATTTTATTCCTAAAAATGTCAAGAAATGAAGAGGGAAGATAAGAACAGAAAATGTGAGATTCAGGACAAGAAAGTTGAAGTCCAGTTTATGTCAGATGTTCTCTGTCTCCCTTGCTCAGTAAGAGGAAAGGTTACCCTATAAACACCCGAGGGGAGGGGCTGAGATGGGGCCTGAGACGGTGGACACACACAGAACAGTAGCTGTGTGAAGTGGTGGTAGTGAAGCTGGAGAGAATCCAAGGTGGGCCCCAGGCAAGGCACCTTGCAGAAGTGGGATCCGCTGGCTTACTGTAGGACAGACTCATAACAGCAAGTGTATTCCCACCACACCTGCAATACCTTGACCATGGCAAAAATGTTTATTCAGTACTGGGAATGGGCAAATGGCTGGAGTGGACATTCAAGAGGCCAGAGCTTGTGGGCACTGCTGGGTAGGGTAGAACCAGCAGACTCTGGAGGCCCCTCTGGCTGGCTGAAAGCTGAGTCCCACCCAGCTGGATTGAATCTGCCCACTGAGACATCTCATGGGGAGAATCCCCCATCTGCTCATCAAAAAATGTTTCTCTTACTATGTTTAAAGATCACTTAAATATCCAATAAGTAAATTTAGATAAGAAGATTTAGTTAAGACAGGTCTATAATGTGATATCTTACCTAGAAATATGAAAGCCTCTATAAACATATCAATAATGACTTGTGTTGATTTCCATTTGCTTTCAGAGATGGGCAAAGGCATTTTACAAATATCCACAGTGTCTCCTTTGGAAACAGACATAGTAGAAGTGATGGTGCTTTCCCCATTTCCAGAAACAAGAAGAAGCAGACTGGAAATATTTTCTCTGCCTAAAATACTACCAGAAGGTAAAGAAAAGTGAGCAAGCAATTCTGTCCTGGGTACCCAGTTGAATAGTTGCTATAACTTTCTTTTTTTTTTTCCAGTGATAGAATTTTTTTTCTTTTAACATGTGGAGAGGTTAAAATGCCCACAGCCTTTGCTGTGTCTTACAAAATAAAGCTGATATGACTGCTAAATAATGTGAAATGTGGACTTTCCTCTCAGTTCAGTTCAGTCACTCAGTTGTGTCGAACTTTTTGGGACTCCATGGACTGCAGCACGCCAGGTTTCCCTGTCCATCACCAACCTCCGGAGCTTACTCAAACTCATGTCCATTGAGTCGGTGATGCTATCCTACTATCTCATCCTCTGTTGTCCCCTTCTTCTCCTGCCTTCAATCTTTCCCAACATCAGGGTGTTTTCCAAGGAGTCAATTCTTTGCATCAGGTGGCCAAAGTATTGGAGTTTCAGCTTCAGCATCAGTCCTNGCATACAGATTTCTCAAGAGGCAGGTCAGGTGGTCTGGTATTCCCATCTCTTTCAGAATTTTCCACAGTTTGTGGTGATCCACACCGACAAAGGCTTTGACATAGTCAGTAAAGCAGAAGTAGATTTGTTATAGAACTCTCTTGCCTTTTCGATGATCCAGCGGATGTTGGCAATTTGATCTCTAGTTCCTTTGCCTTTTATAAATCCAGCTTGAACATCTGGAAGTTCACAGTTCACATGCTGTTGAAGCCTGGCTTGGAGAATTTTGAGCATTACTTTACTACCGTGTGAGATGAGTGCAATTGTGCAGTAGTTTGAGCATTTTTTGGCATTGCCTTTCTTTGGGGTTGGAATGAAAACTGGCATATTCCAGTCCTGTGGCCATTGCTGAGTCTTCCAAATGTGCTGGCATGTTGAGTGCAGCACGTTCATAACATCATCTTTTAGGATTTGAAATAGCTCAACTGGAATTCCTTCATCTCCACTTGCTTTGTTCATAGTGATGCTTTCTAAAGCCCATTTGACTTCACATTCCTTGATGTCTGGCTCTAGGTGAGTTATTACACTATCGTGATTATCTGGGTCATGAAGATCTTTTTTGTATAGTTCTCCTGTGTATTCTTGCCACCTCTTCTTAATATCTTCTGCTTCTGTTAGATCCATACCATTTCTGTCCTTTACTGTGCCCATCTTTGCATGAATGTTCCCATGGTAGCTCTAATTTTCTTTAAAAGATCTCTAGTCTTTCCCATTCTATTGCTTTCCTCTGTTTCTTTGCACTGATCACTGAGGAAGGCTTTCTTATCTCTCCTTGTTATTCTTTGGAACGCTGCATTCAAATGGGTGTATCTTTCCTTTTCTCCTTTGCCTTTCACTTCTCCTATTTTCACAACTCTTTGTAAGGCCTCCTGAGACAACCATTTTGCCTTGTTGCATTTCTTTTTCTTGGGGATGGTCTTGATCACTGCCTCCTGTACAATGTCACGAACCTCCGTTCATGATTCTTCAGGCACTCTGTCTATCAGATCTAATCCCTTGAATCTATTTGTCACTAGATTCTGTCGTTCATACAAATCTTCTTATCAGAGGAAAAAAAGGATCAACTGTCACTTTTGTAAGTTGATTTGTCACTTTGTGATGTCTCTTTTTGTGTTGTGTCCGACTCTTGCGACCCCATGGATTGAGTCCATCAGGCTCCTCTGTCCATGGGATTTCCCAGACAAAAGTACTAGAGTGGCTTGCCATTTCCTTCTCCACTCTTTTTTGTAGCTTTAAATATACAGAGTCAAATTCATATATATTACTATGTAGTTACTTTCATTGATAAAATCAGAAGAAAGCTTTCTGGGTAAAAAGGTATATTAAAATAGACACTTTGTTTTAGATAACAAATATATCTGGGTAGCTATTTTGCAAATATTTAGTTATAGAGTATAAGAAAGTAAAAAACCTCAAGGTACTTTATGTCTTAATTAAGACTGTCTAGACCATCATGAGTTTCATCATGTCTCTACTTAACTGATAAAATTAACAAAAGTCTTATAAAAGATAATTTACTTACTGTTAGTCATTTGATACTCAAGTATTTCTAATGGAGCCACATTATTTTCCAATCATTTTTATCCCCTAATAGTCTCTACATTAACTGAGCATTTAATTTTTTATTTTGCTTTTCATAGTTGTCATAACAACATAAAAAAATAAATCGATAAATAGTACAAATTATCTGTCTTCTTCCCCAAATATTACAGTTTCTGCAAGCTTTGCTGATGAACGAGGGAGGCTGAGAGATGAATTCATTCATAAGTTTGTGTACGAGACAGAGCACACTTTGTCCTCTGCGGTCTTGAACTTGCAAAGTAACCGAATATACGGCTTCTGTAATCAAGTGCCATACATCTGCAGCTATCTTCTTCCTGAAAAAGTATGCCAAAGCTTAAGCATTCTGTCATTTTTCTTAGCACTCAAGATTGGTACATTGTGTTCATTAGACATGATCCACGCTTTAACACTCTAGTCCAGTTAACAAATGTCTTTATTATAGTAAAATAACTTCTTTGAATTAGATATATTAGCATGATTTGTTAATTCATCATAAAATTTTAACATTTGAGCAACCTCATACTTGTGGTGCATGCATCATACTTGTCAGATAAACATGCAGATGACACAATAATAGTTTAGTAACTTTCAAAACTATTTTTTAAAAATCTATGATTAGAAAATCAATTCTACAGGGGTCAGGAGCTACAGCCTTGATGATTTTCAGTGGAACTTTATACTTGAGTCTTAAAGAAAGTTGCAAGCAAAATGCCTCTATGTTTCTAGTATCCTTTCATCATACTCTTCAAACTTCTTCCATATTGCATCATTTCCTGCTGCATACACTAACCCAGATTATATCACCCTTCTTTTTCTAAATCCTTCAATCAAAAGCCTTCTCTCTCAGAGTAGCCAGTATCAGCAAGGTCTGAAACAAAGACATTCAAAGAAGGAAGGACTGGTTTATAGTAAGGAGGAATTAAGAAAATCTTCCTGGTAGAAGTAATAGTTGAACTGGACTTTGAAGAATAGTTCAGATTTAGACATGAGAAATATTGTGTACAATCTTGGCAGGGAGGTGGGGTTCCTGAAGTAGGGAGGGAAGCCAGATTGGTGGGCTTGGGATGGGGAAGAGCATTCCAGGTAAAAGTCACAACACATGCAGAGGTTTGAAGGTGGGAATACATGAGAAATGGGGGGGCGGTGATGGTGGTGGTGGAAATTGACTCATTTATTTTGACTTGAGGATAGGCATATTTGAAAAGGATTAGTGAAAAATCAAGATAGTCAGTTGTAGGCTGGGATTTTTAATGGTAGCTGATATACAGAGGAGACTTTTCTTAGTTGGCTGAAACAAACATTTATTTGCAATCAGAGATTTAAAAATATGGTGCAAATATAGGTGTCCACTTTATGATGTATCAGTTTATTTCCAATGACAATGTTTTTGGATTTGAATCTGACTATATATGCATAACTGCAAGGTGCCACTCCCCTGATCTTTTCTATAATATGGTCATTTTCTTTGATTGGCAGGAACATAGTGGTGTTTACATTCTTAAGCCACACCAAAAAATACAAAGCAAACAATATGGACCTGGAATGCTCTCTCTGTCTCCACATGGATTGTGGCTCATAACAATAGCTAAATGTGGAATTCTGTGCATCCGAGATATTCATACTTTGGTAAACTCCTTTTTTTTCCCCCAATCATGGTATTTCCATCTTGATCTCATACACGGAACAAAAGCTCTTAGGAAAGGAATTGGAACTGTTAAGTAAATTGACTCATAACTTATTTACCACTGATGGTGTTATTGACTTCAGCGTTAGCTGTATTTATGTGCCAATGTTTGAGCCTCTAAGGGAGGAAGTGCAGGCCACTAGACTGAGACCTGCAAAGAAGGAACATGGGGCAGTAGGTGAGCTCCAGTCCATCTCCATCACCACTTATTGTGTGGCGAGAAAATTCACTGAACTGCTTGTTCTCACCCTGTGAGATTCTGGTAAGAGCCAAGGAGAGGGTATATGCAAAACTTCTTTGGAAACAGTGAATTGCTGTGCAAATCTAGGATGATTGCTGCTAGCTCCCTGGCCTGGAGTGCCTCTAACCTGGTTGCTGTCACCCTCCCCCACCCCAAGCCTGAGTTCTTCCTGTGATGCTGAAAGAATACACAAGGGTGTGGCCCTTAACTGAGTCCTCCCCCATCATTTGCAGACTTCAGTGTCCCAAGTTCTACTGCCATTTCTGATTTCCATTGTTCTCAGATCTCTGATTAAATGAAAATAGTTTCTTCTCCCCAAGTGGAAGATCCTTTTCTAGGTTTTGAGATCAAGTTGTACTGGTTATCAGTACAATTTAATTATTTCATATTATATAGGGAAAGATCTTAAATATCTTACAAATAATTTTTAAATGAACAGTTTGCAAACCAGTACATTTTCTCTTATTCAAATGATTTGTAAATGTATGCTACAACTGATAGTGGCATGACAGCAAGGTGTCAGAGTTTTTCTGGATGATTCTGTGCAATGTGCCTCATATGGGAGGTTATTCATGGCAGTACTGCTTGTAAAAGCAACTTAATATCCATCAGCAGAGGACTGGATAAATAAATAATCATGCATAAACAGTGCATAAATAAAGTATGGAATATTATGCTGTAATACAGCATGAGGAAATCTTTATGCAATAATATGGAAAGAATCCCAATACATATTATTATAATAAGTAGTAAAGGCAAAGTGTGTAATACACATATTATGTTATACTTCATATTAAAAACTGTTTGTATAAAAAATTATTTGCATACATTAAAATCCTCTGAAAAGATATTTAAGATATGATTGTATTGATTGCCTTTGGGAGGTATTGGGGAAGGGGAAGGAAGGAGATTTCACTGCATACTCTTTTATAGTTTTTTTAAAATTTTGAAACATTTGAATGTATTCCCTGTTCAAAAATTTTTAAAAATTTTAAAACTATCATGGTTGATAACTAGTGTGACAAAGAAATCCATTTTTGATCAAATAATTTAAACCATTGTACTGTGTACCAACTAATGATATGTTTGGGTTCTAATTAAACTGGTTTAATTGGCCTCCTCCATCATTCTTCACTCATTGCCCATCGCCTTCTCTCAACACACTCAGCCTCTTTGCACATAAAGGGGACTTGCTTAATCCTTGAAGACATCTGAATTTGCCTGCACTGTCCATTCTCAGCAAGTCTATTCTCCTTTCCATATCTGATTTTCCTATTAGTGACAATAATTCCTCCTTTTCCATATTACCTAGAAGGGAGAACAAATCAATACTGATGAATGTATTTTGTATTAGTAATTTTCAGTTCTATGTATTACTAAGAGACTACTCCATACCAACTAAAATGCTGTTAACAAATAGGAAAAGGTTTATCCATAAGCAAAAGTGCATGTAACCCCCTTAGGAAGAAAACCCTGTGGTAGAGCTGCATTCGTAATTTCTGCACTTTGTTCTTAAAACTATTAAGGAAACATTTACTCGGTGTCGGAGTCATTCTCACCAGGGGCACGGGATTCAATCAGTGAGAATTTCAATGGATGGACAAAGCATTCTGGTGAATGGGAGAGATGACAACACACTGGTTAACCTAAGATGGAGGTAAGTACAGGTTGCAGTAAGCAACCTCACGTAATATGGTGTTTTAAAATATAGATGTTCTTATTTAGTTAATAGCAGGGCCAACATAACTGGAGACAACTGCCATTGAGACAACTGTTGTACTAATGATCCCAAGAGGGGGGAAGATGCCATGCTATGCGAGGGCCATATAGGGAGGCACCAGGGAGGGTTAGGAGACAGAGGGAGCAGGGAAAACATGGACAAGAGCTTCATTTTGGTTTCCATGGTGAGGAGCAGCCAGGCTTAGGATTGGCTAATTTGGATAACTTCGGTGGGTTCTGGGCCGTAGGAGCTGCTGCTAGTTGTCCAATACTTGAGCCAGGTATTAACTAGGAGAGGAAAATAGTGGCCCCAAGTTTGAAAGACCAATAGAGGATTTGCTTGGGGTTGTGGGCCTGTGGGTCTGCATTTGAAAGGTGAGCTCCAGGTAAGTTGTTTACTATCTCTATGACTTGCTGGTCCTGGAAGGGACAAGACCCCAGATATCAAAGCATCAAAATACAAAAAATAAAAAGACACAGTTAAGACCCATGAAGTGATCAGTCCTCCCTATCATAACATCTGTTGGAAGAACAAAAGGAATGAGGACAACTCTGAACAGTAGATCATTTTTAAAAGTCCTATTTATCCCTAAAAAACCTGACACAGTTATGTGCGTTTCTGTACATGCGTACAGATTTACTTTCCTAATTAGCCTTTGCTTTCCTAATTAGACAATATTAAATTAATTTAGACTTTGCTTAGACTAAAACTAAAATTCTAAATAGACAAATAATTTCCAAGCATACAGATAATGGCCAGGGCATAGAGATCATGCAGGTAATGCCCTGGACTTGAAATGTCACTTTATTTGATCTGCCAGTGGACGCCACTTATCAATATGCAATTTGTTTCCACAAAAATACTATTTCATAGTGCTTCCTGTAAGCAAAACAGTAATAAAACTTACTTAGGCCCCTGAAAACCCCTCTAAATCATCTACAAACATGTTATTCAAGGTGGAATCTGCAGCACCTGTGAGCTTGTTAGAAATGTGTGCTCTTGGGCCTCATGGAATTTTTGAGTCAGAAACTTTGTGGGTGGGGCCCGGGAATCTGTTTTAACAAGCCCTCCAGGCCATGCTGCTCTGCCTGCAGTTTGAGATGCTCCGGTGTACTGAGTGGAAGTACTACTTCAGTGTGGGGCAGGGACTGCGAGGACTGCACAGGGTGATGTGATGACATAGAGTGTGGAGCAGCACAGTACCCAGTATGTTCTGAAGGTTCAGCCAGAGCAGGAGCTCTTCTGCGCAGTGCAGGCCGGATGAGTAGAGAGGACCCGTAGGGTAAGGGATGGGGTCAGCCTGGGGAGACATGACCCCAGGGAGATCAAGAGGCTTGTTGTGTCCTGGAGCCCGTGAGAGTGCTGTCCTCTAAGAAGCAGAGTCCTAATAGCTTCAGGGCACTGTGGAGAATTGACCACATATATCTTTGTGTAGAAATGGATAGGTGCCTGCAAATAACACTGCTAAATGTGTCTTTTTCAAATTGTCATGTTATAGCCTATGTGTTTTCCTTTTTATCAATATAGGCGGTTTGGAGGAGTCTTAGCCAATGATATTCTTGAATATAGCCAGCAACTTACAACTTACCTGAAGACCATCATGGATGAGGAGAATAATTATTTAAGTATACCAAAAAGAGAATCCTTGGATTTGGAATCAGAATCTGAACATGCAGTTGAGTTTTAATAGTTTTCTTTCTCCTTCCTTCCTCCCTCCCTCCTTTCTTTCCTTCCTTCCTAAATTGATATGTTTTCAGGTTATAGTTTTCTTTTAGCAGATATTTTAGTAGTATTCCTCTTTATCCAGATATCCCATGATTTTCAAAAACAGCATGCACTACATTTAAGAGAAAAATATTCTACGTTTTCTCAAAGCAATCACAAATATTACATTTCAGACCTTATTTAAAACCATAGTACAAGGTCTATCTGGAAAAAGAAATCTATTACAATTCTGGTGCTTGTTCAAACTAGTCTCTGTACTTTTGCATCATGTGCATTATTTAGAATGTGTCTACCCAGAGGACATTTATTCACCCAGTCATTTAATAAATGTTTACTGAGGGCCTACAGAGTGCTAAGCTATGGTGATATAGCCATAAACAGTTGGGAAATTTTCTGCTTTCGTGGAGCCTACAATCCAGTTGGGGGTTGGGGGTGAGCAGAGAAAGATAAATAATCAAATACATAAGAAAAATTAGATAGTAACAAGATCTATTTACTGAATAAAAAGGGGTTGGTGTGATAGTGTTGGCTGGAATAGCCCCTCCAAGGAGAAGGTCTGTGACTTGACTTAAAAAAAAGTACAGATGTGTGGGGGAAGGTCAAGTACTCAGGGCAGAGGGAGAAAGAGCTTAGTACATTTGAAGACCTAATATAAAAGAGACCTGTGCAGTTGAAGTGAGCAAGGGAGAGTGGTAGGAGATGAAATCCTTGAGATGGGAAAAAAAACAGGCAAAGAAGGGCTTTGTAAACCAGGTAGCATTTGGACATAGTTTGACACGTAGTGAGAACCTATTAAAGTGTTCTGAGCAAAGGATTTACAGGGTCTTACTTACTTTTTTTTTTAAATGATTGCTTCTGCTGTGTGGAATATGATTCCGCCTGCTTTGATAGGCAGCAGATAGGCACAAGTGTGGAAGCAGACAGAGCAAGGAGTTAGAAGGCTCAGGTAACAGCAATAGAGGTGGAAGAGTGTTGTGGAGAAGGGGCAGATTGCAGGTAGGTTGTGGAGGTAGAGGTGACAGAACTTCTGATGAGTTGTACCTAGAGGGAAAGGGAAAGAAGGGACTCAAGGATGACGCCTAGATCTTTTACTTGATGGTACCACTCACGGAGAAGGGAGAGACCATGGTGGGGGAGCCAATGTAGGGAGAAAGAAGAAAATCCAAAATCAGTTCCTCAGATTGAGCATGAGACCACTGTTAGAACACAGTTAGCATAAGAGAACATCCCAGTGAGGTACCCAGGAGGCCACTGTACAGATGTTCTGGGGAGAGTCCAGGATGCGAGATGTTGATCTGAGAGCCGAGGGCATATGAATGGAATTTAAAGCCATAAAACTAGATGAGATCATCATGGAAGACTGGATGGTGAGAAATACAAGGGGGACTAAGATAGAGCGACTTCTAGAGACCAGGAGAAGAGTTCAGGGAGGCAAAGGAAATTGAGAAAAACCAGTGCAGAGCGGCCAGTGAAGAGAACCAACAGAGTCACAACATCCCAAACTCTCTCAAGACTTTTTGCTGCAAAGGGGAGCACAGAAATAGAGTGGCAGCTAAAAGGGAATGTGGTGGTAAGTGAAGAGTAACTGTCCTGGGACAGGAGGTTCCAGAGCATATTTAGATACTGTTGGGAAAGAGTCAGTAGAAGGCAGAAATGGATGATACAGAAGGGTGATGCAGAGGCCTCGAGAAGGAAGAATAGATTGAGATCCTAAGCACAAATGGTGGGGCAGACCTTAACAGGCCATAGCATCTGGTCTACAGGAACAGGAAGAAGGCCAAGAGTGATGTGGTGATCACTGTTGCTTTCTCAGTAAGAAGCATGGCTGATATAAGGACAGATTGGAAGGAATAAACTTAAGCATTACATCTTGAGCAGGCAAAATGCTTATTAGCATTTTTTTCAATGCAACAAGTGCAGAGGGATTCAAGCAATGAAATGAAGTAGGGTAGGAGGAGAACTTGATGAATTTTTAATTTAAGAAATATCCGTCTTCTTCTAAGGTAAATGAGAATATGCAGTTAACCATTGACTCATCACAAGAGGAATTAGTCAAAGTTGATCATACAGAAGAAATTCCATGGATACAACAGAAAAGCCAAGAGGTATTCATCAAACATAAAAGAGGTTTGAAATAATGCTTTGTAGGTGTGTCCGGTAGATTCGTTTCCTATGAAAACCCATTGGAAAGTTAGAAAGGAGAGATACTGCTTGGCAGAGCATTGCATTGTGTAAGTGTAACTTTCCTGAAAGTAAGCAAGCACACCAAACACAGCTCAGTCTTTTTAGATGAAGTTATGTGAGCTTTAAGCCCTGTACCTAGGCTAGTGTGAAACCGAAGAAAAGTGTCCAGGTGTGCCAAAGCGAAGAATCAGCTGTGGCAACTCACATTGCAGTACATTTGAGAGGATGCCGCAAGGTTGGCTTACGTGAAAGGGGTGGATCAGGAACAGAAGAAACGCCGTGGCTTCAGAGGTGCAGAAGGCTGACACAGGTGGCAGCTGTGTCTGGATCTAGCCTGCTCTCGCTCAATACCCACGGAAATAGCAGACTAGTTTTCCTTTATTAACTATTCTGTTTAATTTTTCACTATTTTCTTACTGTTGGCCTTATCATTGACCTCAGTTCCAAGTTGCTTTAGCGATCACTTACATAGCAACAGTTCAGGCTTAAGCAAAGTATTGCAGTGGTATTGTTACTACTTCATGTACACTTTATATTATTAGTCTTTAATTTTTTCCTTATTTTTCTAGAGAAGTGCTATCTGTGTATCCACATACATACACATGTACCTCTGATCTCTTACTTGTCTAAATGATATACGTGTTCCATTCCAGGCCATCAAAAAGGAGGTTAAATTGTTTTCCAACAAAAGGAGAGAGATAAAAAGAGGAATCAAAGCACTCGCTAAAACTGTAAGTGTTGTGATAGCACAGCTAAGCTGTGATGACAAACTCCAAAAACATAATGGCATAAGGATGCAAAGTTTCTTTCTTTCCCTGTATAATGGTTCTGGGTGGGTGTTCAGGTCAGTGGTTACTCTGTTCCCTGCAGTCATTCAGAGACTGAGGCTGACAGAGACTCTGCTGTTTCTAGCACATGGCTTCTAAGGTTGCCTTGTTTGATTTCATCCCACTCAACTGGAAGGGGGAAAGAGCATAGAGGCATGCATTGGGCAAATCTCGAGGTGGCCCTTATTGTTAGATTGAACCACAGAGATTGCTGTTTTATATGGTTCAGCCAAATATACTCCAAATATTTTTTGTTTTGTCTAAGGCATAGATCTAACTTAAAAAAAATAAGCATTGCATTTCACCAATTCATTTTATTGAATATGGCCATCCTTTTTCTGCTGATTTGCAGTGCCTCCCCTGATTCCCATGATTATGGAATTGTTTCTAGATAGTCTGTATTCTGAAATTGAGCATTGATCTTTTCCTTAGTCGATTCCAAACTATTTTGATTGCTATAGATTTATAAAATGTGGTTATATCTTGAAAGTAATTCTCCCTTTGCTCTTCATTTTCAGAAAATGTTGGCCTCTTTATGCACACTTTTTTATTTGAATTTTAAAATCACCTTGTCAAGCTCTGTAAAAAACTCTGATTTATTTTGAGAATAACTGCTTACAGTTTGATTTGGAGAAGAATTTCTTTGCCATCTCTGAAATTTTATACATATGTTTATATATATTATTTAAGATTTATGTTATAAATGTTGTAAATCTTTTATATAATATATAACATATCAATAAGTATATATATATTTTTTCAAATTTTTAACGAGTTCTTTAGTGAAGTTTCATAGTCTAAAAGTGACTTTGTGTATGTTTCTTATTAGATCCTTTGTGGGTGGAATATTTTCTATTACATTTTCTAACTGTATACTGCTGGATATGAATGTTACTAATTTTGTGTATGACCACTTTTCTGATTTCTCTTTTTAGTTCTGTTGCTTTGTCAATTGAATCTCTTGGATTGTGTAAGTGGACTATCAATATCTCCTGAAAATCATGTGTCTCTTATCAATCTTTATATTACTTTATTTCTTTTTCTTATCATATGGTAAGGCCTTCTAATGTAATAGTGGTCAGAACATGCTTGTCTACTAACCTTAATGGGAACATTTCTAACTTTTATATGCAATGCTTGCTATTTTTCTATTAGATATCCTTTTATAAATTAAAAGGAATCCCTTCCTATACCTTGTTTTATAGGAGGTTTTATTGTTAATTTTATTGTGGATTTATCAGATGTTTTGTATTCTTTGTATTCCTCAGATAGACTTTGGTCATTTTAAGTAGTACACCAGATTCAACTTGCTAATGTTTTATTAGTATTTTGTATTTCTAATCATAAATAATATTGGTCTATTTTTCATATACTTTCTTGGTCTAATTATGATATTGGAGTTAGAACAGCATAAAATCAAGTGATGATGCTCCCCTCCCCCACATACATGTAAAACTATCTGGATCTGATGTCTGTTGCAGAGTTGATTCTTTCCTATTGTTTCAAGTTCTTCTATGGTTATCAGTCTTACCAGGTTTTCTATTTCTTTTCAGGTATAGATTTGATAAATTCTATTTTCTTAGAAAACTGTCTAAATGTGTAATATAAAGTTATGTGATATTCTACTTTTTAAGTCTCTTCTGATTTTTGAGTTATAGTTCTATTTTATTCCTAATGCTGTATGTTTGTGACTTTTATCTTTTTTCTTGATCACCCCATCCAACAGAATTTCTATTTTATTAACATTTCCAAAGAATCAGGTATGGTTTTATTGATTTGATTCTGTTATTTTGAGATAACATTATACTTAATGTTATACCTATACATTTTGTAAATTTAGGATTTGATCAATTTAGAATTTTATTCATTCTTCTTTGCTTCATTCAGTTTTATTTCTCCTCTTTTACTTTTTTTAGTTGGAAATGTGGTTTATTTCCTAGTTTTTTCCACTATATTATGCATGTGACCATAAATATTCCACTGTGTACCACTTTGACTACATTGCATTGATTTTGATATACAACTTTCTCATTGTTGCTTAGTTGTAAACATTTCTAATTCCATTTTGAACATATCAACCAAAGGGGTGTTCTACAAGAATGTATGTATTTTTCTGTTTTTTATTTCCAGATTGTTTTGTCTTTTATTTATTTATAGATTGTTTTGCATATCTTTCTATTGCTAACTTTGAACTTAATTTCACTATGCTTAGTAAATAAAGCTTGTTGAGATTATCTGTGTGACCTTGTACCTGGTCACTTTTTGTGAGTGTTTCATGTGTTAGTAAAGAATATTTTGTTTTCTGGGTTTTGGGGGCAAGGTGGGTAAAATGTTCTTTAAATTCCTATTAGATCAATCTAATGGTGTTAGTTAAGTTTATGTTTTTGCTATTTAAACTGATTTCTAGGATGTGATAAGCAGTCAATTTATCCTTATATTTCTATCATATTTACATTAGATGAAAAAACGTGCATGACAGATTGCCTTGATAGATTGCTCCTTTTATCCTTGTGAAATATTTATCTTTGTCTTTGGATGTTTTTAACTGTACGCTTTGATTTTTATATTAATATTTTTGCTCTATTTCCTTGTATTTGCTCTTATTTACATATCTTTTTCAATTGCTTTATTTCCAACTTTATTCTGTCCTCTAATTAGTATAGAGCTGGACTACTTTCTTTAAATCCTATCTAAGAGTTTTAATGGGTGAGTTTAGCCATATTTACATTGATATGTTATGATATGATAAACATTGATGTGTTTAAACTTAATCCCTGCCACTTTACTTTGGGTTTTCTGTTAATTTCCAAGTTTTTTTCTTTCTCCCTCTTCCCTATCTGTTTGGATTGCTTGTGCATTTTTTGTTATTATTGTTCTTTTCTTTCTTTCTTCTTTTTCTTCTTTTTTTTTCCTACCATTTTGGGACTATTCTATTTTTTTTTCATAATTCTATTTTTTTTCAATTCTATGGAACTTCCCTGGTGGTCTAGTGATTAAAGACTCCTCACTTCCAATGCAGAGGACAAGGGTTCAATCCCTGGTTGGGGAACTAAGAGTCCACATGCTGCATTGTGTGGCAAAAAAAAAAAAAAAAAAATCAAATTCTAGCCCACGTGCCTGACTTACTATTTTTTTTTTTAAACATTACCTGGCACCTTCCTGCTCAGTGGTATAGAGCATAGAGGCATTGACATTGCCTAGAATCTCAACCCCATCCCAGATATCCTGAATAAGAATCTGCTATTTTGACACGGTCCCCAGGTGATTCACAGGCACATGAAGTTGGAGAAACTCTGGTCTAGTGTGTGTCATACTATGTGCATGCTCAGTCATTGCAGTCGTGTCCAGCTCTTTGTGACCCTATGAACTGTAGCCCACCAGGCTCCTCTGACCACGGGATTCTCCATGCAAGAGTACTGGAGTGGATTGCCATGCCATCCTCCAATAAAATCTATGTCTCTTACATCTCCTGCATTGGCAGGCAGGTCCTTTACCACTGGCACCACCCAGGAAGCCCATGTCATATCGTATCTACCCTCCAGATTAGAGTCCAGTGTGCTTACTTTTTTCTTACTTTTTACTTTCTCATCTCCTTCTGCTTCTCCCACTTTGTCTCACTGGTATCAGTTAGAATTATAGTTTAAATTGGTATTTTTTTAACTTTTAAAAATGTGTAAATCTTATTTAGACTTAGTAAGAATTTCCTCTGACTTCAGTATATCCTCAATAATCCTTTCAGAGGGGTAGGTATTAGTGAACTTTCTGGGTCCCTGACTTTTTACAAATAACTCTATTTTGACCTCACACTTGAATGATGGCTTGTTGACTATAGAATTAGAGATTCAAAGTTTTTCTTCCACTTAAAACTTTGATCCAAAGCTATTGATCTGTTGTATTCTTGAATTCGGTGTCACTGATACGGGTTCTTCTCTTGGTCTTATTCTTCTATTTTTGTGATGTTCTTTTCCTCTTTGGAGATGTTTAGGATTTGTTTCTTGTTTCCGTACGATCTGTTTCTAGTCCTGGGTTATTTGTTAAATCTTGAGTTTTCATGCTTTATTGTGTCTTTAAAAAATTCTCCCTATTGTTTTTTTAAACATTGTGGCCCCAGTTCTCTTATTCTCTTCTTCTTAAAGTCATATTAGTAACAGGTACTTCTAGATATGTCATGCACATTTATTGGTTTTCCTTTTACACTTTCATCTTTTTATCCCTTGCTATACACAGGGAGGATTCTTAGCTGACTTTTACCAACCAGTATCTTCAACTGTGTCTATTTCACTATTCAGCCCATCTACTGAATTTTCTGTTTGTTTTGAAGATTAAACTTTTAAGTTCCATGATCTATTAATTATTTTGATGATACAATATTTTGCACCCGTAGTTACTGTGAAATTCTACTCTTTTTGCTTGATTAACTCTGCATGACAAGTTTTCTGCTTATTAAACTTATTGTCTCTCTTCAGTGGTCGTGTTGTCCCCCAAATATTTGGAGATCTATTTTTTTGATTATTGCATGCTCATTTTTATAATTGAAATTCCCTGTTATAATTTCACCACAACAGTGCAGCAAGCTTGGAAAGAAGACGTGTAGGAGATCTAACTTCAGCAGATAATTCCAGTCTACCTTTTGCCTGAATACTGTCCCATGGACCCTTGGGCTATGCTGCATCATTTCTGAATGATTTTCATATTTCAGAACCAGTTTCCATGCTGCGAAGGATTCTTTCTTCCTCTTTTGATTGCAGTATTGGATTTATTGATTTATTATACACTTCTTTCTCTTGATTTTATGGATTGGGGCAAGAAAGGAAGATTGCAAAGCCCATTTTCAGTCCATTTTGAAACTGAAGTCATTTTTTTCTATTATATTATCTTTGCTGTTTTGGTTGATTTGTATGGGCTCTTTATATCTTGAAGATATTAATAACTTGTCATATATGTTGTAATATGTGTCCTTTGTCTCTGAATCTTTTGAAGCTATAAACTTTTAAAGATAGTTTTATTATAGAAATATTCAAATATACATATAAATAGAAGGAATAATAATCTAATAAATCTAATCGCCAATAGTGTTTCCTATACACCATCCACTAGGGCTTCCCAGGTGGCTCAGGGGTAAAGAATTCACCTGCCCATGCTGGAGATGTAGGAGACTTGGGTTTGACCCCTGAGTCGGGAAGATCCTCTGGAGAAGGGAATGGCAACCCACTCCAGTATTCTTCCCTGGAGAATCCCATGGACAGAGGAGCCACGGGGTTGCACAGAGTCAGACATGACTGAGCGACTGAGCATGCACATATACACCATCCTCTCCCGTGCACCTCTCACCATGCACATATACAATATCATATCATTTCACCTTTAATTTTTTAAGTATATGTATCTAAAAGATAAGAACTCTGAAAATACTTAAGAAGAATACCTTTAGCATACCTAAATATCTGTAATTTCTTAATATCATTTCATGTTGTTTTTAGATAAGTAAGCTTTTATGAATTAACCCTCTAACCTAATTCTTTGCTTGACAGTTACATTTAGATAAACGGAATATCTATTTTTATTGGTTGCTGTCTGAAGAAACTCAAGGAAACATCTCTTTAAAGTTTAATTGTTTACTCATCTCCAACCTTTCCTACTTGAAAATTCAGGTTCAGGACATGATGGAAGAAAATGAAGCAGTAGATGATATTGCAAAATTAGAGCAACAAGAATTTGGCCTGGATCTTGAAGAACTGGAAAGGCTGCATAATGAAAATGAGCAAGAGGTGGCAAAGGTATGGAAAAATTTTATTGAAGCACATGAAGATTTAATAAAGAAAGTAAAAATAAAATGGGAAGGAGAACTTTTCCAGAATAATGCAAATAAAATAAAACTTTTCTACCATAATGTGAATAAAGCAAACTTAGTGCATATAAATGGAATGAGTCAGAAAAGTTATGAAGAAGAGCATCTAGACCAGCCAGACAGCTGTTGTCTCTTCACCATGACATTATGCCAACCATCTTCTGGCATATATTTGAACATTTTTGAAAGTCTCCTCAACCACATGAAACCAACTTCAAACATTTTTTGTTTAGTAAGCCCTTTCTTAATTAGAGTTGAAATCATTCTTCCTGAACTCACTTGATTCTTCCAATCTTTGAGCACCATCTACACTATAGCCATTGTGAAAGTGGTTGGAGAAGACTAGCAATGTATCCCGTTTTCTTATTATAAAAGATAGGAACCAATCTAGGGCCTTTTTGAATGTTATTGTAACAACCCAAAAAAGGTGGGTTATTGTTTTCCTCACTTAAGGAAACTAAGTCATAGACACTCAGTCACTTGGTTAAGAGAATACAACTTGAGTCAGAGCCAGGAAGCAGTCCTGGTCTTGCCCACCGTGCTTCTGGCTCATCCTTCTTGGCCCTGGTCTCACTCAGGCCTGGGATATACCAGCTTCTCCCAGCCCGTTCATCTTGACCACCCTAAAACGAGTTGGCTTAGATGCCTGCTGCCATCCTCATCCTCTCATTGCTTCTTTCTTTAAGTTCATGTCTGACCGCTCGGCCCCGTGAACCTGCCCCTCTGGACACCTGAACACTGATGCAGCCACTGTGCTCTCTCGACTCCAACTCATGCCTCTGCCCGAGAGGCCCCATTCCTTGTTTTTTATCAAAGTCCTGTGCATCTCTTGAGGAGCTTCCTTGATCCTCTGACTCAGACTCTGATACAGAGATAGGCTCTTCACATGCTCATTTCCCTCATGTTGTTTTTTTCCTGAACTCTGGGCTTTTGAGGAGATATCAGCCCTACACTGGATGTGATGGTAGAATACAGGACAGAACACTTGTTAGCAGATGGCACCATAAATCCACCTGGGAGCAGAATATTTGTCCCCGGGAAGAGCAAGGGATCCCTGTCCTAAAGAGACCAGGCTACTAGCCAGCTCTGGCCAGGATCCCACCAATAAGGAAAAGACCAAAGCCCAATAATGACCACCTGGACATTAATAAATATTAATTAATGCAGAATAGTAATACTGTCCAACAGTATTAATATTTTTCTGAAAGGGTTGATCAAGTAGCCTCAGAAGTAGTAAAGGGAGGGCCTGAAAGGACCCTGGAAATCAGTCAGATTCTGACAACTGATATGCCAAAAGAGCTGTTTATTTAATAAAAAGTAATTTTAAACTGTTTTAGCCATTAACTCAATGGACAAAATAAAAAACAAAATGCAAATTAAACATGGTATTTGTTCAGACAATGAATAAAATAAAAATAAATAAATGAGTGAATGAATGAATCTGGGAGATACTAGTCTTAGCTAGTTTTCTAATAATTCTTCCAACAAAGTGATATTAAAGAAAAAAAAAAGGTCTGCACAACACTGTAAATCAATTACACTTCAGTAAAAAAAAAATTTTGAAAAAAGATTCTGAAGAGGACCCTAACAATTAAAGACTGTTGGGTGTCACTTTTAGGCTAGCTCTTTTGGTAAATTTTATTAAAATAAGAATACTTCATCACTTAAATATTAGGTAATAGAATCAATTAAGGAGATAAAAACTAATTGAGGGAACATATGTTTCTAAATAGTTTGAAAAAGTACATCATATGATCCCAAGGAGGAGTAGAACATTCATTTCATGGTAGATGTAAATAAAAGAAGAATTTAGTACAGTAAAGACCCCAAGACAGAGGTCACAAACTGGCACTTCGGATATGCATTGACAAGAATTAAGCCAACATTTCTAGCTATCTCAAACTTTTCTAATAAAACAAGAATACTTGGCACAGTGGGTTTGCTTCACCACCTTGCACCAGCCAGCCAGCTCTGCGAAGTGTGTATGGGCTATCTAGCTAACACGGCTGTGCACCGGCCCATGCACCTGCCTCGGCTCCTGTGCAGGACCTGCCTGCCCTTGGTGGTGGTCATGTTTGACACCCTGGTCCTCAAGGAAGGGAGTCCTGAGCCTCCAGACTAAACCTTAGGTTCTCAAAGATAGGGGAATACCCCTTCCAAGTACGTCTGGTTAATGAATTTACAGTCAAGCTATTTTCTTTGAGGTCACATTTTCAACATGATTTTTCCCTTCATTTGTGTTCCTTAAGATAAGAAAGGATGTTGAGATGCAAAACCTAGCCAAGAGATATTTGTCTGAAATCATCAAAGAAGAATGCTGGAATTCGATGTCTGTGAAAGGCCGATCTCTTAAGGTAACAGATGTAACTTCAAGTACGTCTTAGCCAATGAAAATTTTCATTGAAAGTCTCATGGCAGAAAATTTTAAAAAGAAAAAGTGCAGGAAAGTCCACATATAGGAAAGCAAACCACGCCTTGCCCCTTCCTGGGCTGAATTCTACCTCCGTGTGTCACTTTTTCTGGGTCTTATTCTTCCCTCTCTGCTCGGTCCCCATGTGCTTCTAAACCTGCATCTCTTAAGATTTGTCTTACACCTCTTTCTCTCTTTCTTCCATGACACCACCTGCATCCAAGTCTCAATATCTGTCTATTCCAAAAAAGCCACCTCACTCACGTTCCACACAGATTGAAAACTAGATCTAATAATGTTCACATTTCTACCTGTGTCTAGCTTCACATTTTCTTTCTTTTTTTTTTTAGCTTCACATTTTCTAAAGGGCTGTTTTTGTGCCTTTTTATTAAGATTCCTCCCAACACAGTTTCCGTCTTTGTCTAGGGTAACCAAAAGTCCCAATTTATGCCTATGATCCTGGAGTAACTATTAACGGCACCTTTTTCACTTTCAAATATGCCATCTGTTTAGATCATGAAGTATTGGTCACCCTACATTTATGAGCTTGATTATTGTTCTAAAACAGGGTTTCTTGAGAAGGGCACATTTGGGGCCTGATAATTCTTTGTTATGGTGCTGTCCTATAGATTGGAGGATTTTTTGCAACATTCCTAGCCTCTGTCTACTAGGCCCCAGTAGTATCCACCACGCCCATTAGTGACAGTCAAAACTGTCTCCAGACTTTGCCAAACGTCGCTGGGGGCCTGAAGAGGATGGGGACAGGGGCAAGCAAAATCACTTCGAGTTGAGAAGCACTGCTCTAGAGATAGATCTTTCACAAAAGTACAGTACTTTCTTACAAAGGTTACACCAATATTGATGGCATGCATTGTTCTTTTTTAAAAACTTCCATCAGCCATTTTGCTCATGCATGATGGTAAGGTATGAATTAGTTTCAATCAGAGAAAACATTTCCCACAGTGCCTCAGAGACACCTAATTGTACTGAAAATGTATTCTTTTCATTTTGCTTTTTTTTTTACCTCCAAGTGCTTTCACATCCCCTATGTGGTTGAGAACTTCCCAATGAAAGAACGCACAGATGAAGAGTTGAAAGAATTGAAGAGAGTTGTGCAGCAAAAGAAGATTGAAACAGAGTGTCTTAAAGTACAATTTTAAGTATATATATGTGTGTTTATATAGGATGGTTTCTGTTTCAGTATTTCCTTCATACAGATTTGAGTTGGAATACTACTTAAGTCTAGATATTGTTTGTGTTTATATTTGTAGTCCTTGTTTATGTCTACAACATGTTCTGATGAATACAGGAGCCTGTATCTAAATAGTAAGTCTAGAACCTATATCCTAACAACTTTGACTGTCCCTTAAATATGATGATATACTTTAAAAAATTATATTTGGGAGTTTGTTTTTGTTCTGGCCATGAGTTCTTCATCCACTCATAACTCATTTTTATCATCTCTTATCACTGAGGATTATATTTTAAGATAGTTGACCAGGGATGAAGTAGAATCTGTTTTGATGGGATTTATGGTTTTCCTAAAGTAATCCTAGCATTTTTCCCCCCAACAATATCTGTCAAACCACTTAAAAATACTGCCCAATTGGTATAGTTTCATTTAGGCCAGAACTTTGCATTCTTTCTTTTTCTGAAACATAAATTGAAGGCATGCTTAATTTTTCTTGCCTACATATAACAGTCCTATGGGAATAAGTTCCTGTAAAACATGAAGAGAAGGTATATTTTTTAATGCCCAAGTACCAAGAAAGACTCAAAATATTTACAAGCAGCTGTCATCCTGACAGAAGAATATGAATATTACACACTATAAAGAACATTTTTTTAGTTTCATGATTTATCCACAATTTATCAGTTTCTGAAGCTTTCTCTTCAGCAGGTTCAGGAACTATCCATCACTTTAAATTCAGTTGCTGGCAAGACAATTAACATTTTAAAATGCTCGTTGAAATAATTAAGTTGTCTCAAACTTGCTCTTTAGAGAATTCTTCTTATTGCATAACTCTCATTTCATCTTTTTCTATATTTAGCTACGGAAAGAAGTTGTAGAGGTTCAGTCTGCAATTACCTTGGTTAAAAAGCATCATGAAGAGGAGGATGAAGAAGAGGAAGAAGATGGGGCAGTAAAAGATAGCAGCTTGCCCAATTACATGCTTGGCAGTCTGAGTACTGATTTTAGGGTACATACCTCTTTATTGTCAAGCCAGTTGGAACTTCATTCCAGAGAGGAGAAAATCAACCAGATTATATTGCTGAAAGTGGGTGAATTTTTTCTTTATCTTTAAAAACCTCAAACTTTCCATGAAGTGTCCTGCAAAGGCTCAAACTGAAATCTAATGCCAATCAAATGATGTCTTTAAAGTACACGGAGAAACATGCAGATGGCTAGCTCCATTTTCTTTAAACAGAGCTTATGGAAAAGAGTTGTTTTCATCAATGTGGAGTGGGTTCTGTGATACCAGGTTTTGTAAAGAGCACCCTCCACTGGCTAACATCACAAACCATCTTTCTACAAAGATTTTTGGGAAGCTCAAAGATAAAAGAAATCCTTGAATGCCACCTTCTAGGTAACCCAGATGTCAGTTAGGAGCTCCTTGTAAGATCAAGATGTGATTGCTTATCTATCTCCTTAACCTGGGGAAATACAATTTCCTCTTTAAGATTTCTATAAGTTCTGGGGCTCAGGGATAAGGTATGGTGTCCTTCAGGCTCTAAGTTCCTCTTCGCTTTCAACCCAATAAGTCAGCTTCAGAACACACCACCTGTACTTACCAACTGCAGGCTTTTGAAAACCCAGTAACTTGAGATTGCACCAATGCAGATGGTTTGATATTTAATGTTTGGTCATCCCTATTCCTGAAAGTCTTTCAGCCCTATCTGCAATTTGAGTTCTAACTTTCTACTATGTTATTCTGCTGTCTCTTCCTATCTTTTTCTCTTCTTCGTCTCTTCCAATACCTGAAATTCCTATGTATTTATACTAAGAACTGTTTAGTTATTTCTTTTGTTGCTTAGCTTCTGCTGACTTATGCCCTCAGTGTCCCACCTTCCTGCCACTTTATTAAAACCTTTTCCCTACAGAAAGTATTTTCAGGCTAGGAGAAATTCTGGTGCCAGCTGTTAAGACCATTTTATGCTTTAATGGTTTCATCTTCAGTAGAATAGATATATAGACTGAACTCTGATGATAAGATAAAGTCTACTTTTAGTTTGACCCATCATTCTTCTCATCAGTAGAGCTAGGGGCAAAGCAGTTGCCAAACCAGAGATACCTTAGTAATTGCCTGAGTCAACTAGCTAGCTGGGGCTCCCTTTCTAGTTAAAAATAACCTGTCCACACAGAGGAAGAATATTGTACGTGATTGTGCTTCTATGGGAGCTTCTCTAAACAACCTCTACAGTCCATCTTTTCTTCACTTCATCTACCCAAACACAATTCCAAAAAAAAAGACATTTCCCAACTTAAATACTGAATGAAAGTGTTAGTCGCTCAATCGTGTCTGGCTCTTTGCAACCCCGTGGACCGTAGCCCACCAGGCTCCTCTGTCCATGGAATTCTCCAGGTAAGAATACTGAAGTGGGTAGCTATTCCCATCTCCAGTTGATCTTCCTGACCCGGAGATCTAACCCCGATTTCCTGCATTGAAGGAAGATTCTTTACCATCTGAGTCACCAGGGTAGCCCAAATACTGAATGTTGCTTTTCAAATGTTCTTATGATGGATTAAAAAAAAAAAAAGCACACACAAAAGTAGGGAAAATAGTCCAAAGAGCCTCCACATATCCATTATCCACTTTAGCCTTTGTTAATATACCTGCACATTGAGTTACAATGTACATTTCTGGATATACACTGTGGTGTAACAGTTATGCTTTTGCCTTAATACTGCTCATGGTCAGATGCCACTACAGATTACTGAACCAAGAAATGACTTAATGCAAACAGTGTTTTAGATTAACTTGTGTATAATTTGTAAAATGATTTTGGAGAAAAAGTAAAAATGTGGTCCTGTGTTGCCAGTAAAGTTATAATACATGATGTGTTTATAATAACATTGCTATTTCAGGATATTATTTACAAGGTAAAAACAGCTTTCAATAGTGAGTTTGATGCTGCATATAAACAAAAAGAGATTGAAATTGCACGTGTGAAGGAAAAAAATGTAAGGATTAAAGAAATTATTTTAGATCTGGAGTTGAAAGAATCAGTCTGGCAACCAGAATTTGAGGACTGTGAGAAGCCAGAGAGAACCCTTGTTGTGGAAAGTAGTGAGGTATGATTATCTGTGTATCATCTCTCACCTTCTTTCTCATGACATTTTCCAGGCTCTCAATTATTCTTCTTGTTTTTGCTGCTAAAAGCAACTGTATAAGGTAGAAATCTTGGTTACAAGTAACAAAATCAGCTAACATAGCCCCAGAAATAATGAGGATTTCTTTTACGAATCCCATGGAGTCCAGAGAAGATTTGGACACCAAGCCTAGAAAGAAGCAGGAACCACATACCAGAGCCTTGTGAGGGAGACCAGAAGTGTTCTTTCTTCATCTTTTGACTCACTTCTGTCTGCAGTTCAGCGGCCTCAAGTAGTTTCTGTGTTATATCTCCTATATTCTAGAGAGCATCTGGTCCAAATGATAATCTCTTAGTCACAGGTTCAGATTTGTCTGGAAAGGGGCTCCTTGGGCCAACTTGGGTCCAGCACCGATAGCCATAGAGGTTGGGTCACATCATGGGAATGAGACTGATGGAGCTCCGGTAGTTATGTAGCTGTTACAACAGTATGGGTTCCAGAGAAAGGGGCTCACTGGACAGCCTTCTTAAAACCTGTGTGGCACTGAGACAGTTACAATTAAATGCCTAAAGAGAACATTTCAAATATAATCATATTTCATTTATAAAAAGTGATTCAAAGAGAATACCCTTGCTCACATGAAATGATCTTGATTACTTCAGGGCCAAAGATAAAAGTGTTGCTTAGAGGTAATAGTAACACTAACAGTCCCTGTTGAAAGTAATCATCTATTTTTCTAACTCTCTCATTTTGGATCTCATCTTCATTCCAAAATGGGAAATTGGTGGCAAAACCTGGGTATTCCCTCTATCCCCCTAATTCCATCTAACCCCCTCCCAGTGTGTAGAAGGAAACTTTGGTTTGAATTTTGTAAGAATATCAGCAGGAAACTACATTTTCTCTTTCAGATTTCAGCTCCAAGACATATTAAACCGTGGCAAAAAGCCAAGGCAGACTTGCTGGTGACCCGTGAAATGGAGCGATTGCTTCTGACACGGGTATGCAGTTTTTCTCTGGTGGTACCTAAGACCCTTTTTTCCTTTTAGGTATACTTGTTCCTAACTTGGTTGAATAGTCTTGTACTTATACTCCACCAGAGAGACATATTAGGGCATTTGTCATGGTCAGAGGTCACTGGAATCTCAGTGGCTTCTTCTCCCCTCCATGCATGCCACTATCTACCCTCCCCAATCCTAAATACAGTCAATCTAACATTGGGGTGGGGCTGTCCCTCGTGCCACTGGAGTGGTCTCTGTCTCAGTGACCCTTTCTGACCCTGGCTCTTTCCCAAGGGCCCTGACTTAAGACGCCGAGCCCTCATGGACATGATGGGAGGAGTTCTGGAAGTCAAGAAGGAAGACATTTTGAGAATGGTGAGATTCCTGGCCATCCTTATGGAAGGTGGAATGGGATGGAGCGAGCTACTTAAGCGTGACCATATTTTCCTATGTGAACCTAAATTTTAGAAATTCTACAGCAATAAATATTCCACCCCAGTGTCTCGTAAGGGCTTTCCTAGTGGCTCAGACAGTAAAGAATCTGCCTGCAATGCAGGATACCCGGCTTCGATTCCTAAGTCAGGAAGATCCCCTGGAGAAGGGAATGGCAACCCACTCCAGGATTCTTGCCTGGAGAATCCCATGGACAGAGGAGCCTGGCGGGCTGTAGGGTCTCTACAGAAAGCAGGGATAAAACCTCACCTGTAATTCTCCAGATACACCAAGGAACATGCCCTTTGATGCCTGACATAGGTATCCCTGGAGCTCTGACATGGTTCTAGCTATGAGGATATCAACTTGCATGTCTGAACTTGTCAGCTCACAATCAGAGTTCATCCCAAACTATTCACCCTGGCTTAAGTCACAGAAAAACAGTTGTAACATTTTTTCATATCCTTTGTTCAAAGCGTTAGGTCATTGTCTTGCCAATGTGAAGAACCCTTTTAAAGGGCTCTTTTTTGAAACTGTAACAATAACTCTGAGTTTCACAGTATTGCTACATTTATATTTAACCTGGATGCTTTCCTTTATTTCTTCAGGTGATTCCTCAGCCTGCTTTCATGGTAAAACCTGATGCTTTGTGGTCTGAAGAAGAAAGGAAACACTTCAAAGAGTATGAGAAAAAAGTCAAGGAGTTGAATGAAGAGAGAGATAAGTATAGAAAGGTAATAAGAGCAGAGGACATGGCCTACCTCACCAAGGGTTTTGTTTCAGTATCTTTTCCAATGACATTTCAGAAGGCATTTCCTAGGTACCTTTAGAAGCCTCAGGATGTTGTTTCAGCTTAAATTCTCAAGAGAATCTGAGGAAGTGAGTGCAGATAAATTTAAAGACTTAGAACAATTTTAAACAATAAGAACACACAGCAAAATTAAAGGTTCTTATTGATTTCCCATTTTACATCATTACAATTCATTTGGTCCTTCATTCATTCTTCAGATGTTTAATGAACACCTATGACAGTATGTTCAAGGCACCATAAGGTACTGCTCTCTCTTGCCTACATCAGTTTAAGCTGTATGCTTTTGCTGTATTTGCTCTCAATTTCAAGGAAGAGACTTGAAAGAAGAATGATGCAATCAATAGAATTCTAATTTGAGATTTTTGAAATGCAGGTCTCCTACTTTTCTCCATCCATCATAAAGAAACATTCCAACATTGAAATTGGTTACAATTATAATAGAGATGTAAAAGGTGATGGTATACAACCAAGTTAACATTTATTCTTCTGTGAAGAAAGTAAAATCATACCATCATTCAAGGCAGGACGGTTTGTCAGCTTTATAGAGGCCATATTTTATGAACAACTCCTTTGAACCTATTGTTAACTTGTCCCTGTTTTTATTCACTGCAGTCCTCTAACAGTGCCCTTGCGTTTTATCCAAAATGAGTAGTTCTGAGTGCAGTAAAGATGTCAAGAAGTTAATGGAATTCAGATGCCTAAAGTGGTGGCATTTACTCCATGGTCTTGCATTGTAAAATAGTCTCTTGCCTACACCTTCACCCCCTGCCCCTTGACCATGCTTACCTGGTAGAGAGTCAGCCTTGATTAAACCAGCACTCAACGTTCTCTGCATTCACACCATGCAGTGGGTGAAGAAATATAACAAAGTGACTATAAGTTTTGCTTTTGGACAGTTTGAGTCCAATGTGGCCATGGAAATGTTATTATCTCTCAAAACCTCAGTCTCCTCATCTGTAAAATGAGCATTCTGGAACTTTCTTTCTGTACTGTTGTGGGGATGCAAGAAGGCAATACCTGTAGTTTTCTTAGCCTTGCCCCCAAACTCAGGAAATGACCCCGTGTTAGCTATTTTGAAGAATAAAATTAATAGTTCACACTCATAGTATTAAAAAAAAAGATAAATAAAATCACCATGAGATCATTAAAAAAAAAAGAAAAAAGAAAAAATGCTCCGTGGTTTCACTCTGATGACCTTAGTCTTTATTGGGTTCTTAAATCTGCTAAACAATGCTATTCCCCCCAGCTTTCAATTTCCCCCTGGTTTAACCTGCTGAATCTTTTTTAAAATGCAGATTCAGATTCTTTCATTCTGAGGACAGAGAAGGCCCCTGAGATTCTACATTTCTATTGAGCAACCACGTGGTTCAGCTGCAGCTGCTGGTTGGTGGCAATATCCTAGAGGACCATGTCGTGTGCTCTCCTCTGTCCTCAGACTCCCAACACCCGACCCTCAACTCTCCCCTCAGTTTCACTCAGAGAAGAGGAGCGACTAGAAGAGATTTTCCTTTCCCTTCTCCCACCACATCTACCACCCACCTGCCTTGAATCCATAGATCCTTCTTGCCTCTCTGTTCCTTGTGGGTAAAACAGCCTTGTAGCCACCCACAGCTGGTGTCCCAGTGCATGCGCTGAGTCCCGTCCCATGCATCTGTTTAATGCTGTCACTCCAGCCATCTGCCCCATTTCCCTGCAGCATCAGTTTGCCCCTCTCTACTGGATTTTCCCATAGATGCATGCTGTAGTCTTACGTGTTGTATACGTCTTTTATATTTACGAAAGAAAAAAGACTCCTTTGAAGGTTTGTAAAAAAAAAAAACCTTTGTATTATGGAAAATGTCAAACATATATAAAAGTAGAGAGACAATATAACAGACCCAGGAGTAACATCTGTGGCTGAAGGGGAAGCCCAGAACACCTCACAAGGCCTGCCCTCCACCTGCCCCTTCCTTTTGGCAAAATGTAAACAATCACTTCCTAGGAACATCTGATGTTCCTACATGTTAACTTTGGTGCTGATTTCCTTTCAGTCTTTAGAAACAGAAATGAAGAAACTTCAAAATTCTATTCAAGAAAGCACACAGAATTTTGACAAACATTTGAAAAGACTCTTTGAAAGGAGAGTGAAGGCAGAGATGGTTGTCAACCAGGTAAGTAAAAGCCTCACTTATATGACATTCTTCTAAGGAGCCTCCAAGGCCTTTCACTCTTCTCAGGATAAAGACCAGCACCCTGTCTGGCAGGAAGGCCCTGCACTGGCTGGCCCTGCCTCCTGTTCCAGCCTCATCTGTGCCACCCTCCCTCCCACTTGCCATGCTCCATCCTCTGCCCCCTGGTTCCCACCTCCTTGCTCCCAACTCTGCCAATAATACTCTCTTCCAACCTCTTTGCTTCCTGCTCTATATTTACCCATCTGTCAGGTCCCAACTAGGTTAGGTCTTCCTGTTACCTACTCTGTTCTTTTACTTTCTATCACTTAGTACAACTGAATTTTAATTTATTGAGTTACTTTTTAATGCTCCCAAGACTAAGCTTCATGAGGGTAGGGACTGAGTCTCTCTTGTTCATCCTTGTATTTCCAGCAACCGGCAAAGGATTGGGCTCATCCTATATGTAGAATGACCAAATAGTCAACATGCCCCAAAAAAGTCAGATGAAAAATCTGACTTACCTTGATTCAGCAGTAAGAATATAAATGAAGTATACAATAACTTAAAAACAAGAAGACAAAGAATAAAGGCTTTAAATTCTGAGGGAAAATTATTCCTAACCAATTCTATGTCAGACCAAACTATTAATTGAATGTAAAAGGAGAGTAATGATATTTTGAGAAATGCAAGGTCTCAAAAATTTTTGTGCACCATTCTCTGCAAGTTAATGGAAGGTGAAAGACATATTTAAAACATCCTTACATACAAGTGAAGTCACTCAATCGTGTCCGACCCTTTGTGATCCCATGGACTATAGACTATCAGGCTCCTCCATCCATGGGTTTTTCCAGGCAAGGATACTGGAGTGGGTTGCCATTTCCTTCTCCAGGAGATCTTCCCGACCCAGGGATTGAACCCGGGTCTCCCGCGTTGTAGGCAGATGCTTTACCATCTGAGCCACCAAGGTAGATTTTCATATAAGACAATGAGGAAATTATTAAAGGCTGCTATCAAAAGGAGTCCACTTTAAAAGATCCCCTAAATGGGACAATTTAAGATTCAACAATGATAACAATTGCAATTAATTGAAGCCTATCAAATTTATTAGGTTAATGAATTTGTGATATTTTAAAAATAAAAATGCCTTCAAAGGATACCAGTTTGTTATCTAAAAACTAATAGAGAGAAAGTGTCAACAATTTACTCTGCTTTTCTGTATGAACTACACTGCTAGGTAACCAAATAGCAGATAGGGAGAAGCATACCTTTATGAAAGGATTTCAATTAATAAGTGAAGAAGAATGATAAAAAACATAGTATCACCATTTTGCAGCTCTCAAAGGATTAATGAGCCTAAGCACTGAGATCTATAGCTGCTAACGTCTCAGAAAGAAAGACAATTTGATGCTACCTGTTTCCTGATCAAAAAACACCATGTCCCCTATGGTCTTTGTAAAAGGATCAGACACAGGTCTGATCTGTCCCCTGACTCAGCTGCAAATTTTCAAGAAACACATGGGATAAAGGACTCTGTTGAACTCACCATAAGTAAGCAGTGAGCAAAACTCAGACTAGGTGAAACCACAGATAACTACAAATAAATGTGAGGGAAAGAAAGGGCTGAAAGAGAACCTGTGGATAATAATAGGTTTTCAAAATGTGATAGTTTTTTCAACAGAGAAGTTATACAGTAGTGCCCAGAAGATGTGTATTTGGGTAATAATACTGTAAAGAAACACAAGGAAGTGATTACCGTAAAAGTCAAGAGAATGGTTATTATTGGAGTTGAGATTAGGATGGGGACACATGGAAGGGCTCTGGTTAAGTTCCAGTTCTTGAACTGAGCAGTGATTACAATGGTGTTTTGCCTTAATAATAACCCATTAAACTATACATTTGTTTTATGTGTTTTCCTATGTATATGTTTTATCTTGCAATGAAGATTGAAGAAAGGTAAAAACAACTGAGTAGTTATTGCAAGTTTATATTCCCTTTTTCTTGAAAAGAATTTCTCTTTCTTGCATGTCATAAACTTGCTTAGTGAGTGCCAAGTCTGTGACCCTCAATAGAAAATCCTTTCCCAGGTGGGCACATTGATCGTTTTTCCCTTTAAAAATATTTCTACAGGAGGAATTGAAAATAAACAACCTTGTTTTCTCTTTACTGTTGGATGAAGAAATAAGCTCCAGAGAAACATTCCTGAACAACTACCTTGCAAGGAAGCAGGAGGAGAAGGTAAATACAGTGTCTGATATCTGAGTATCAGCAGTTTCTGACCAATTGCTCCCACTTGACAAGAGTCCACACTCCTGCCTGGCCCCTTCTTTCTTTCTACATTCCTTCTCAAATGTGTGTGTTCCTTGGCTCCCTGTCTGGGACTTTTAACCACTGACTTTCTGTGGGACCTTGGACAAGACATAACCATTAAAGCTATTTTCAAGATCTTCTTTAGGGTGTATTGTTCTCTCTGGACCGTTTGGCACTCTGTTTCACTAAATATGTAAGTAATGGGTTAGCTTATAGAATGAAAAGCTGTTAATATTTTTTAAAATGCTAGTAGATATGTTTCACGAAAGAGACAATGAATGCTTGTCACATAATAATTTTCAGAGGATGTCAGCTTTTATTAATAGTATTAATAAATGACATTTATGAATGAATGATTTAAAATATCATACGATATTCACTTGTATTTGGCAGACACTCAGAGGCAGGCAGGGGGATGAGAAAGCCATTTAATGAAAATAAGAAAGCCAATATCCTGATTAGGAGTTGTTGGCATGGGGAAGCCTGGGGCAAGTTAATTAGAAGCTGGGCTACCTATGTGTTTGGTTTGGGAAGCAGATTTGGCTTTCCCTGGTTGGTCCTCAGTTGTGGCAAAAATTAGGAAAGCTGAAAGTTATTGACCAAGTTCTGACAGTTTAGGGGCCAATCACTGCAGAGGTTGTGGTTTCAATTCCTGGCTGGTTGCAGACTGTGAGTCAGTTCTGTTTTTATATATGGCCTGGCCATCCTCCATTTACTAATATATATCCAGTCTCTCAGAGCCCAGGCCCACATGACTCCCAAGCCTGTGCAATTTCATCACCCACACTGCTCTGCCAAGGGAGTATTATGCTCCCTGGTCACTTACACACTCATCTACGGAGCTGGCTACACTTGGAAACAGGTGATGGATGTTTGTCCTTTCAAGGCCTCCAGTCAGTTGACTTTCTTCTATGAATGTTATCTGTACTTGATACTTCAATTCACATTAATCTTGTACTAAGAAATTCCTTGTTCTTTTTAGTATGCTCACTATTTGTATTTATCCTGAAAACTCTCCAGTTCCGATCTTCTATTCCTGATGTTATTCTAGAACCAGACCTCAGAGGCCGTCCGGAAGTCTAGAGAAGACCTGGATATGTACAAAGAACACTATGACAACTTACTGGCGGAAGACAAAGTGAGAGCTGTTGCCTCAGTCACTTCCCAATGTGATAGCATTGCTGCTGCCTGGATTTGGGGAAGATTAAAAGGGATACAATCTAATCTTCTCATAGAATTTTCTCCTACTGTAATTCTCAGTTATGGGTAAACTCCATTCTATGCCATTGTGTATTTCTAAAAAGCACTGTGTAAAATAAATTTTTGTAAACTTCTCTGGTTTAAGCTTTCTCTTGCACAAAAATGGAGAGAGCTCATCTAGATTTTAGAGCCTTTCAAACGTCAGGTTGCGATCCCCCTTAGTTGGTTGTGAAATCAATTAAGTAGGCTATGACCAGCAGATTTATAAATGGAAAAGACTAGGATAGAAAAGCAAACAGAAGAATATAATGGAATATAACAAAATAGAGGTAACTTGTCTGTTTTACAGGTAAATATTATTTTGTGAAATATATATTTGTAAAATATATTTAGAACTTCAGTTCTAAATAAAACCCTAGTGGCTCAGACAGTAAAGAATCTGCCTGCAATGCAGGAGACCTGGGTTCAAACCCTGGGTCGGGAAGATTTCCTCGAGAAGGGAATGACAACCCACACCAGTATTCTTGGCTTGGAGAACCCCATGGACAGAGGAGCCTGGAGGGCTACAGTCTATAGGGTTGCAAAGAGTCGGACATGACTGAGTGACTGTCACTTCACTTCCACTTCAGTTCTAAATGATTTCTAAGACCTCTTGTATGAAATAATATCTTTAGATTACTGAGGTGCTTCTTTTTTAAGGTAAATCTTTGTGAAATCCTTGCACCGTGAGTGGTCACCCTTTAACAAGTCTATGTTATAAACCAAGTATTCATGGATTTTTAAAAATCAAAGTGATACAATTAATATTTTAAAGAGTATTGTCACAGATAAAAGCCTTCTGAACAAAGTTGCAATCTTGGGAATGATATGTTTTTCTTTAGGTTCTGGATCGCAGCTTTAAAAAGGAATTTTCTGAAATTCCCAGTCATCAGGTGGATATACTCTACAAACTTTTTAAACGCCGACCAAGGTTTGTTTCTCCTTTGCTATCATGTTTCTGAGGAAAAAAAATTGTTATTAGATTTCAGCTTTTTCTCCCAATTAGTTCATAATATTCAATGTGACATCATTTACATGAAAACGTCCAAGTATTTTGACCTTAACTCAGTTTTTAAAAGATTATTATATCTTACAGTAGGCAATGAAAACTGATGACTTCATTATTTAGAAATTAAGTGTATAGGTAATCATAGTGCTATTATGGGTTCTGTTTTATACATGAAAGTAGTTCCTGACAAGATATAGATGGCAGACAGATTTATAAACTGTTTTTCCCAAGATGTGTTTTAACACGTATGCATCCCTTGCGGTGTGAATTGGAATTACACATAAAAGGCTTCCAGGACAAAATAAGTTTAAGGAAATACAGGGTTGAAAAAGATATATAATTTTCTTTACTGAAGAACATTTCAGAACTTTCTGTAGCCTTTGTATCCCACGTGAGAAATAGAGTAGGAAGTGTTTTCCAGACCCTTTCCTCAGAGCATCTCATGTGATTGTGTTCAAGACAAAGATTGAAAAATGCCAGTATGAATGACTGACAATAACCATTATCAAAATAGTTCTACAATATCTGATTTTGATACTTGAGAGTATCGCACAATTCATTTCACAGATTTCCAATTTTTTACCTATACAGATTTCTGTATTTTTAAATCAAACATAATATAGGAATCATGGAGTTTGTCACAAAGGTATAGGCTTATCTGTGTCTAAGATACAAACTGATTCTCTCACCTTTGACAGGTTATATGCAACCTGAGAAATTCAACCTAGAACAAACCTTGTATCTTGGTTCTCCTGTTTTTAAAGGAGTGAGTTATATATGCCTATGAAGAAAGAAGTGAGACCTATCAAAAGGCAGTAGTGGAAAAAGAATAAGCTGTATTGTCTAGCAGCATTAGCTTTAAATACTAACTCCACACCTATCAGACCTGTGGCCTCGGTCAGTCACTTCTCTCAGAGACTCACTTCCTTCTAGAAAAAGAGGATAACTATAGTAACTTCACAGCATATTGTGAGGTACCTTGAGAGTGAGTGCTGATGCAAATCTCAGTACCCTTCTCTTCCCAGATGCAGCCCAGGGAAACAAAACTAATCCATAATGTAGGTAAAAAAGAGGCACTTCTCCAGTTGCACATATAGCTGAACATATTCCAGGCTGTTCACCTGCAACAAGGACATCAACAGAGGATGTGTGGGTCAGAACCAGGGAACATCCATACTTCTCTCAGGCCTTTACTTGCATGCTTAAAATGCCCAGAAGGGAGACGTTTTCTTGTGCACTTAAAGCTTCCAGTGCTGATTGCAGCTAGGGACATCTGTAGTCCACTTAAGGTCGTGTCTGAGGATCCCAGAGATGTCGGAAGGTCCCAGTAGGTGCTTTTCCCTTTGGAGTAATCCACCCACTAACCACAGGGAAGTGCCGTGCAGTGCCACACCTCTGCTAAAGGTTACATTATTTAACAGTGATTGTTTTGTATGTGAAAATATGAAACATTGATGGGCTTTTATTGATAATACCAGGATTCACAAACACAAAGTACATGCAGAAACAACCAGTCTTGTGCCTTTTGGAGAGCGACCAGGATCTGGGAAATTGAATAAGGATGCCTTTGCCCAGTTAATGAAAGCCATGGATGACTTGGACAGTATTAATAATATGCCAGAAGGCTTGGACACCTCCGTCTGGGAACATTTCTGCATGACCAGAAGAGGAAAAGTGGAAAATGAACAGAAAGTATATAACATTTTATCATTCTACTTTATTTCATTTCACTTAGTATGCTAGTATCAAATATATAGTTTATGGTGGTCAGTCCTTCTAGAAAAGCTAATTATTTAGGTTTCCCACTAGGGTAGCAGTTAGTAATATTAATAATAATGATAAAGAAATAAAATATTAACCTTAGTCCGATTGAGGGCTAAGTACAGGCCTACTTGTAGACACACTGTCTAAAATGACAACCATTAGCCACACATGGTTATTTTTTATGTGAAATAAATGTGGACAGTTCTGATTGAGACATGCTGTTACTGGAAAATATAGGCAGAGTTAGAAGACTTAGTATGAAAAAAAGAATGGAAAATGTCTCAATATTTTTTATATTCTTTACAGGTTGAAATGCTAATGTTTTAGATATATTGTGTTAAATAAAAGAGTAAAGTTAATTTCACCTGTTTCATTCACTTTTGTAATATGGCTCCTACAAAATTTAAAATTATGTATGCAGTTGGCATTGATGGTTCACATGACATTTCTCTTGGACAACACTGTTATGGACACAACTTCTTCTGTCTGCTCTGGTCTTGAGTAGTGTTCATCTCTTTTTGCATAGACTAGAATTATATTTCACCAGAACCAACCAGAACCAACTTTATAGTTTTGCTAGAATGTTTTGTTAATGTAAAAAAACAGTAGCAATTTGAGAGTCTGTTTAGTTGGGAAGACTCCTTCCTCTTGTTGCTTCTTGACCACACCCTGCCTCCACTCCCCCAGATTTCCTAAATTTGGTGCCACATGTGGGAGGCTGTCATATTTTTGTTGAACTATCTATAATTGTAAAATTTTATCTAAGATGATAAGATATAAGAAAAATCCTAGCTGCATGCATGTTGTCTTTCAGTGAGAAACAATTTTGACAGTTTTGGGGGATACTTTTCTTATTATTCATGGGATGTGCCATGTTAAGTTTCAAGTTTCTTTATTACATAATGGCAGGGATTTAAATTTTTGCTAATATATTAGAAAGTTGGACTTAAGGTTTTGTAACAAAGTTAAAAGATGTATATTTCTCAAAGTAAAATTAGTTTGCTTTTATTTCTAAAGCTCTATATGTACTGAGATGTTTGTGGTTTGATTTCCTCAGGTAAAGCAGAAAGCTGCTGGTTTAATAGAAATGGTGGCTTTCCTCCGGAGAAGAACTGAGGATGATGAGAAGGTGCAACATGAAATTGAAAAAGTGTTCCATGAGCTCATCCTGTAATTTGAACCTTTCATTCAACGTTCATATTTTCAAAATCTGAGCTAGGGCTAAATTAAGTTGTGTTATCATGGGGAGAGAGTGCTGACTCACTGGTTTACAGCTGACACTGACTTTACCTATACATGCTTTATAGCTTCTCTTTGAGAAAGTGCATTTTGTTATGTAAGACCTTATTTCAGAATGAAGTTTACCTTCATGCTCCCTGTTCTTACTGCAAACCATCAAGGTTTTTTTTTTTACTTTTCATTGTTTTTCCTTCTTAGAATTTGAAGTATAATTTACTTATATTAGTTTCAGATGCACCAATAGTGATCTGATATTGCTATACATTACTCAGTGATCTCCATGATAAGCCTCATTAGCATTTGTCATCATACAAAATTCTGATAATATTATTGACTATATTTATATTCCCTATGGTATACCTTGGGAATGTATGGTATACCTTACATCCCTATGACTGACTTAACAAACATGTAAGTTTGGGGAAAGGCTTTTATTTTTATCTCCTTCCACATAAAAATACAAAGAATATGTCTCTGCTAGTAAGTAATTTTAGGCTCAAGCCACACAAAAAAAGTGTGGAAATTTAAGCAGATATCCAAGAAATTTCCATCTATATGCCTGATAAGCTAATATTTTTCTTCAGGGGAGCTTGTTGCATTTTCCTGAGTACTGTCTTATGTCCTTGCTTCACTTTTAGCCATATATATAGTCACATTGATAAATACTTCTCTGATGTCTCCAAATTCATCATTAAACATCATTTTCAGATTTAGGTGATAAGCAGGAATATAAATTACCTAAAAATAGATTTGATAAGTAGCATGCAGATTAAACATTGTTAATATAATATCAGAGATCAATACATGAAGTAGATTTGTTATTTGGTAGTGTCTCTGTTTTTTTCCCACTTACATTCAAAAGCATATTAATCTTTTCTTAATCATGAAGTAAAACTTTATGAATGTGTTTCTGTGCATACCATTCTGTAAGCAGCCCAAGGGTAATTCCATATCAGCAAGAAAAGAAGTATCACAGAGATCTCTAGGAAAGCTTGTCACTGGAAAAGTATTTTCCACATTAATCTCCAGTGCATTTCCCTTCCCCTTAAGGAAAATTAATTTTGAATTTTATACTCAATTTTTATATCATACATATTTTATTGAATGTATATATCAAATGATAGGTGAAATTTGGAATATAAATATGTCACGACTACTTACTTTGAAGTCTTTTTCAATTTAGATTACAGGAAGACAAAGTGAAATTCCAGTTGAATTTGACGATCCAAATCCTCCTTAAACAAGGACAGGTAGAACTGGAGAATTTCCAGTTAATGCTGGATTATTCTGATGCAATCCTCATCAACAAGGTCATAATTGAAGACTTGAATTCTGTGATTCGGGTAATTAGCATTTTTTAAGAAGAAAAAAACAACATGTCACCTGCTGTACCAAATATTTTTCATATTCCCCAATTTCTATGGGAAATCATTTTCATTCAGTTGAATCAGTAGGTGATCCCTACCCTGAAGACGTTTACCCATGTGTCCAGGCCCCACCTCTAGACATGGATATATATTTTTAAAAGCTTCCCAGATAGTTTTAAGGTAAAAAGAAGTTCAAGATCATAGAGTTAAATGTTTATTCTAGTATACCATCATTTTGTTAGAGTCAATTTTCTCACCTAATGATAAGTTTGATAAGCTTAGATAATTGATTTCAGATCTTGCTTATTTTTTAATATAAACATCTAATGTTATAAATTTCCTTCTAAGCACTGTTTTAGCTACACTCTACAAATTTTTATAGTTTGTATTTTTATTTTCTTTCCATTTAAAATACTATCTAATTCCCCATGTAACTTTCTATTAGAAGTTACTATGGGTTATTTAAAAGTATGTTATTTAATTTTCAAATATTTGGGAATTTTGTGCTATTTGGAAATTATGTGCTAATGTTGTTACACATATTACTTGCTCGTAACCCACATTGCATTACTATTGTTCCTTTAGGCAGTCAGTTGTCTTTTAGAGTGATTAAAAATAAAGAAAAAATGATTTTCTATTTCCCTTCAATTTCACTATTTCAAGAGATCTTTGTGTGGATTGAAGTTTCTGGTTTGTATTATATACCTTCTGCTTAAAAAACTTCTTTCAACTTAACTGAATTGTCTGATGGTAATGAATTCTGTTTTCCTTTGTCTGAAACTGTCTTTGGTTCACCTCTATTATTGAAAGATATTTTGCTGGGTTCCCTGGATTGACAGACTCTTTCTCTCTCTCTCAGTCTTTTCACTTTAAAGTTGTTCATCTTCTTCTGGCTTACAGAACTTCTGACAAGATGTCTACTGTATCTTTTTAATCTTTGTACCTCTTAATGTAGTGTGTCTGCCTTTGAGATTTTCTCTTTAATTTTCAGCAGTCTGAACATATGTCTAGGAGTGTGTGTGTGTGTGTGTGCGTGTGTGTGTATATGATCCTTTTAATGTCTTCTTGACTTTGGTTTGCTAATATATTTTGTCCAGGATTCTTGCATCCATATTCATCAAGGATATCAACCTATAATTTTCTCTTATGTTGTGTCTTTCTCTGGATTTGATAACAGGGAAATATTGCCCTCATAAAATGTTTGGAAGTATTCCCTTCTTTTCAATTTTTTTCTTAAGTGTTTGAGAAGGATTTATATAAGTTCTGGTATATTCTATTTTCACTTACATTCCTTTCAAAGTATTTTCTAATACTGCTTATGATTTCTTCTTTGACCCTATTGATTATTTAATAATATATGATTGAATCTCCACATATTTGCAAATATTCCAGTTTTCTTTCTGTTATTGATTCCTAGTTTCATTCCCTTGTGGTCAGATCAGACACTCTATATGATTTCCATCTTTTAAAATGTATTTGGATTCATTTTTATGCCTAAAATATGGTCTGTATTTGAGAATACAGAATAGTGTGTATTCTGCTGGTACTGAGTGAGGCGCTCTGTGTATGTCTCTTAGGTCTTGTTCAAATCCTTTATTTCCATATTGATCTTCTATATACTTAAAAACCACGAGATAAACAGTTCCATGGAAGAGGGAACCATGCACTATATCAATTACTTGACAAGAGCATGGTTGTCAACTCTCAGTGGAGTGTTGGTGCAGGANAGAATAGTGTGTATTCTGCTGGTACTGAGTGAGGCGCTCTGTGTATGTCTCTTAGGTCTTGTTCAAATCCTTTATTTCCATATTGATCTTCTATATACTTAAAAACCACGAGATAAACAGTTCCATGGAAGAGGGAACCATGCACTATATCAATTACTTGACAAGAGCATGGTTGTCAACTCTCAGTGGAGTGTTGGTGCAGGAGCTCAAATGGCGATGGCTGAAGAAATAATATGAAGTGAGGAAGTTGAGACCAGGACTATTAATAAATCTTATGAGAAAGTTGACTGAAAGGAAAGCAGAGAAGAGATGTAGTAGTTTGACAGAAGTGTTTCTCAACCTCAGCACTACTGGCTTTGAGCTGGATGGTTATTTGTTGGAGAGAGCTCATGTGCTGTGTAGTATGTGGAGTTTAGCAGCACCCCTGGCCTCTGCCTACTCTATGCAAGTAGCAATGCCTCCCCCTCCAGTTGTGTCAGCCAAAATGCCTCCCAGTGTAGTTGAATGTCCGCTGGTGGGGCAATATTTTGCCCATTTGAGAGATACTGCTCCAGAGAAATGTTTGACCTTAAGATTTGGGAGCTGGTGTTGACAAGATCAAGGGTATGATCATGGGAGCTGGATGGATGAGCAAACAGAGAAAAGATCATTGAAAGGGAGAAATTTGAGGAATTGAGGCCAAGCAGTGATCAAAAGATAAAAATAATTTCTAAAAAGAGTAATAGTTGGCATAGTCTAATGGCATGATCTTGAAAAAGCTAAGTTCTCTAAAGAGAAGAGAGGAAAAATATAAAATGTTTTCTGACGGAACTCACATACAAATTTATTTTAGAATCTTAGTAGTTTCCCTGTTAGCAATCTGGGGGCACAGCTTCATGAAAATATTACTGAACTTCATGTAGTCCATTTGAAATGAAGTATAGAACATCCAAATGATTAAATATCATATTTAACCCATTCAATTTTCTTGTTTTTCCACTAGCTACCAACCAGATACTGTTGTGCCTAGTGCGTTAAACTGCAATCCTTTATCATTAGTGTCAAAAAGCAGGGGAGAATAGGGGTATAAACATGTACAGATTGATGATGGCAGAAGGAATTCCTGCCTAATCATTGACATAAAAGCAAATTGGCTATGCCATTCAAATTATCTTATAATCCTTTCTGTTTAGTAACTATCTTGCTTTATATCATGATCAGATTGTGCCCATGAAGTAATTTTTAATACCTGCTACATTTTTAAAAGAAGATAGAATTATCTCTTCATTCCAAGTGTTTTCTAAGAAAAACGTTCAGCTTCAACTATTCTGAATGCAGAATATTATATGAATGCCAGTTGTTTTTTTTTTTTTTTTTAAGGCTCAAGGACAAAAGAAAGTTGCTAGCATGATGGAAAGTAAAGAAGTCCATAAAGGAATATTTCAGATTGAGTGGGAACATAAGAAGATGGAGATGGAAATGGAAGATCTAAATCAGAAGGCTTGGGATATTCAGATGCTGTTTTTTTCAAGAGATCGTCAGAAGGTAACTTTTCCCTGTGCTCCACTATATAATCTTAATTTCAGTCATTAATGTATTCACTCATTCAACTGATATTTAATAAGATGCTCTGTGATGTCAAGCATATCCTATGCATAGTATTTCATAATGTGACTATGGATTCTGTCTGTTTCTTCTAGTAGTTTACATTTGCTGCCTCTGGTTCTTTGTGACCCAGTCAGTAGTATAGTCCTATATTGCAACTCACCAGGAATTTCCTAATTGTCAAATCTAGTGATCCGTTTCCCAGTCATCACCATCCCTGTAGTATTTGACCATTGACCGTCTTCATTCTCTCTCTCTCTTTTTTTCCTTTCTGGCCAGGAGCATGTGAGATCTTAATTCCCCAACCAGGGATCATACGTACGTTTCCCCGAAAACCCCCCTGCCCCCCACAGTGGAAGCAGAGTTTTAACCACTGCACCTCCTGGGAGGTCCATCTTCATTTTTAATATTGCCTGTTGTTTTGGTTTTAATCATCCCTCCTTTCTCCTATATTTCTTCCAACATGTCAAATCACTCTGCCTCTTTTCCTGATTTCTCTTTTGTTTCTACCTCTTAAGTATAGTGATTAAGATTCTGCCCTCAGCTCTGTTTCTTTCCATATCCTCTCCTTTGATGATTTCTCTTTTCTAACTTCCATGATCACTCCTAAGACTCATCCAAGCTTTCTGGATTCCAATTCCAATCTCACTTCTCTGAACCAGACCTTTCTCAAGCACTATTTCTGTGTTACTTCCCAACAGCACCTCTTCTTCTTTTGCTTATTTCTGTTCTTTCAGCCATTCACTTGGGGTTAAAGTCGCTGTCCTCTGATTACTCTCCTTCCCTTCCAAGCCTTGCCTGGTGTATCTGTTTATTCCCTCATTCTTTATGCCCCTAACCTTTACCTTGCTTCAGTTCTTCCTTTTTAGTGGTTTCAAGTATTTTATAACAATCTTCTAACAAGTCTCTTGACTTTGGGTTTTTCTCTTATCTCATCTATAGATTCACATTCCTATTCAGCTCTAATAATATTCCTACTTTGCTCCATTTTAAACTTCCTCTTCTTACCTGGTCAGTGAATTTTCAAGTTCTTAAGTGGTGTTGAGTGTCCTTCAATCTTTCTCAAATTCATTCCCCGTTACTCTTACACATCAGTATTCTCAAACCAAACTGATTTTATTTTCTAAGATTCTATCTCTGTGCCTTTGCAATACTGGTTCTTCTACCTGGAATATTTTTCCTCAATTTTTTTCACATCCTGAATCTATCTACTTTTGAGGGTCTGGTTTAAATGCCACCTAATCCATAAGCCTTTTGATTTCCCAAGCTCAGAGAAATCATAGCCCATCTCAAATCACCTTTTAATTTGCATGTCACTTATATATCTTCTGGCAACTAATCATATTACTTATTCTCTTCTTGATGTCTAGGTCATATTATCTATCTTTGTTATCTCCCTCAGTATCTTTAACTATTAGTAGGGTATTGTTAATATGGAACTCATGAAACACTGTCAAATGAAACAGTAAATATCTGGTGAGTTGAATAAATGGATGAATGAGAAAATAAACTAGGCATTGGTAGTTATTAGTATATAGGTGAGTGCATCAATAACTTATGTTTGAACTTATGTTTATAAGTAAATATTATGGCACAAAGTAAAATCAATCCTCACTTGGATAGAAATTTTTTATGAGAAACAGGAACTTCCCAAACTAAGATAATCTTTATAAAATTATCTCTTGGAAGAAATAGAGAAAAATATACTTACTTTGTGATTTATTTTTCCTCTCAAAGTACCTAAGTGAACCAAACTATGAGACTCTGATTGCCATTCAGATTGGAATAATGGAGCAGACTATTGATGTTTTAGATAAGGTAGGAATCAAAGATATTGATCATTATATTTCCAGTATTTGTGAATGATTTGAACAAAGTAATAGTTTTCAAACCATGAATTCAAATAGAACCTACCGAGACTTGGTCTTTTATAATGATATTCAGGATGTAATTCAGTTCAGTTCAGTCGCTCATTCGAGTCTGACTCTTTGCAACCCCATGGACTCCAGCACGCCAGGCCTCCCTGTCCATCACCAACTCCCAGAGTTTACTCAAATTCATGTCCATTGAGTTAGTGATGACATCCAACTATCTCTTCCTCTGTCATCCCCTTCTCCTCCTGCCTTCAATCTTTCCCAGCATCAGGGTCTTTTCCAATGAATCAGTTCTTTGCATCAGGTGGCCAAAGTATTGAAGTTTCAGCTTCAACATCAGTTCTTGCAGTGAACATTCAGGACTGATTTCCTTTAGGATGGATGTAATTAGAACTCCCTAAATAGCGTCTTTGCAACCATAACCATTGTGGTAGCCTGAAGCACTTTAAAAAATATTTTAATTTTATATTGGAGTGTTGTTGATGAGTAATGTTGTGTTAGTTTCAGGGGTACAGCAAAGTGATTCAGTTATACATCTATGTGTACCCATTCTTTTTCGAGTTCTTTTCCCATTTAGGTTATTACAGAATACTAAGTGAAGTTCCTTGTGCTATACAGTGGGTCTTGTTGGTTATCCTCTTGGTTTCCCTGGTGGCTCAGATGGTAAAGTCTGCCTGCAATGCAGAAGACGTGGGTTTGATCCCTGGGTTGGGAAGATCCCCTGGAGAAGGAAATGGAAACCCACTCCATTATTCTAGCCTGGAAAATTCCATGGATGGAGGAGCCTGGCAGGCTACAATCCATGGGGTCACAGAGTTGGACACAACTGGGTGACTTCACTTTTTGTTGGCTATCTATTTTAACTATAGAAGTGTGTATATCTAAATCCCAACTTTCCAATCTGTTCTTCCCCCCACCCTTCCCCAGCTCCGTAACCATAAGTTTGTCCTCTAAATCTGTATGTTTCTGTTTTGTAAATAAGTCCATTTGTATCATTTTCTTTAGATTCCAAGTGTAAGCAAGATCATATGATATGTCTTTGTCTGACTTACTTCACTTAGTATAATAATCTCCAGGTCTATTCATATTGCTGCAAATGGCATTATTTCATTCGTTTTAATTACTGAGTAATATTCCATTATATATATGTACCACATCTTCATTCATCTGTTAATGGACATTTAGGTTGTGAAGCACTTTAACATCCTTTGGGGCTTTTGGAGTGTAGGTGAATTTCCTGTTTCACATTCGGTTATGATTTATGTAGTAGAAGTGTTGATAGTCTTTCCTTGGCGTTGTAAAGGCTTTGTTTTACCCTAACTGCCTGAGCACTCAGTTTTGAGTGTTTAACATACATAAGATGGAAACAAAGTACTCTCCAGGCTGTGTTCTTAGAATCTCTCATTTCTAAGAATATATAAAGTTTCTTCTAAAATGTGTATTAACATACCATTCTATCTTTCAACAAATAATTTAAGTACCTACTGTGTGTGGGCATTATGCTAAGCACTAGGGGTATGGTGGTAAGATATCTTATGATGACAATGTGTTTCAATTTTAAGAATAATATCTTTATAAAATATTTTCTTTGAAAATTATTTTTGTGGGATGTCCTGGAAACAAAAATTTCAGACTCACAAAAAGAATGTGGAGAACTGCAAAAAGCTGCTTAAAAAGCTGAGAAGGTTCAGCAATCAAAAAGATATAGCAAATTATACCCTAAGTTGCAATTTACGAGAAGAGCTGGTGGCTGTCTCAGAGAGAAAAGACATCTGTAATGCAATGGGTAAGATTTTTTTTTTCTTTAATTAACTTTCAGTTTGTTTAAAAGTAATCAGAATTCCTAAAATCTGTACAGTGGTTATAAAGCTACTAGTATTTGTTCCATACGTTTAACTATTTCAGAGTGCTGTTTCTGTATTTTAAAATGTAGATAATAATTCAACTAATTCCATCTTCTTCATTTTGGGGATAGGGTCTAAACTGACTTGTGAAAAGATTGCCAAAGAACGATACGAAAACATGATGCAACAACAAAAGTTAACAAAAATTTCAAAAGAACAAGCTGAGCAGATTTCAATACTACAGGCTGAAGTTGAAAGATTAAGAATGAAAACATTTCCTGCTCTTGTTCAAATGTAAAAATACTGTGGAAAATGTAAGACCAAATCAATAATTTTTAAAATAATTTCATTTGGTTAAAATTATTTGTTTCTCTTATATCAGAAAATTTAAGTAGAGTCTTCTCTTACTGACATATTTTTTATAGCAAATTGTTTGATTTTAGTCTTACTCACTATAAAAATGTTTGTCTTGCATGAATAAATGTCTAAAATAACATGAATTATTCTTATTCAAGAATGAACAAGATTTTATCTCAGAATATATTTAAGATCTATTTTATTGTCTTAATAATATTTTCACAGTAGTAGTATAGACAGTCTTAAAGACAAAAAATTATTTTTAGCCACTACTGCCATTTCTAACTTTATAAAATTACCAGAAACATTATGAGATTATGATTTTTATCTTTTATATTTTTCTGTATTTCCCATTTTCTTCAGTAAGCATTTCTCTATAATTGGCAAAAAATTCATAGAATGTTAAAGATTATTCCCTCTGCTGTCAGTGTGAACAAAGTGGTTTACTTTTACCAAGCCCTAAATCATTTGTAAATTACAACATATTTTCTATGTAAGCATTCTACATAAACATGACATAATCATCTTTATCTCACATTTATTACAACAGAACTTTTGTGTCCCACCCAGCAGAGCTTAGTAAACAGAAAAAACATGTTTTCTCATTTTGTGATATTGTGATTTATAATAAGCAATATATATTTGGTCTTTGACCCCATTCCTGGCACAGAGATCCTAAAACACTTGGAATTTCCTAAGTGATGAGAGAGGTACAGATATCTTGTTAATGAGGTGACTTTTGGACTGCACGTAAGGATGGGGGCTGGTTGCCCGAACCAACACTGTGTCCCAACCTCCAATCCACCTACCCACCCTCCCCACACTTCCACCCTCACCCCCACCTCCAGGGAAGGTAAAGGAACTGGAAGTTGAACTCATCACCAATGACCAATGATTTAATCGATCACGCCTGTGTAATGAGGTCTCCATAAAATCCCACAAGGACAGGGTTTGGAGAGAGTGCCGAGAGCAAGTAGCTCTGAGTCTTTCCCCATGCCTTGCCTTATGTATTTCTTCCATCTGGGGGTTCCTGAGTCAGATCCTTTTGTATGGTAATTTGGTAAGTAAAATGTTTCTCTGAGTTTTGTGAGCCATTCTAGCAAAAAAATTGAACCCAAGGAAGGAGAGTCTTGGGAGAAGCAGAGTTGACAATCTGGGCTTTCAGTTGACATCTAAAGTGGAGGGCAGTCTCATGGGACTGAGACCTTAATTTGTGGAATCTGATGCTATCTCCAGACAGATGTGTCAGAATTGAGTTGAATTGTATTATAGGACATCCATATGGTGTTTGAGAATTGTTTGGTGTGGAGAAACACAGCCACAAGAGAAGGAATTTGGTGATAAGAATTCTTAACATTTCCATGAAATAGTTTATCACTTTATTCATGTAGATAATAATAATAAGATTAACTGTTCAGAAAACTGCTTTGCCTTTCCATAGCCTATGGACTGACTGCATTCCAACATGATAATCAGTGGGATCATTGACCACAATCTCCAAACGGTATCAATGTCTCGTTGTTCTGCAATTCTCGAATTAAGTTTAATCTGCAATACCATATCCAGTGTATACTGGTGTAGGTAAAGCCAAGAGAACAATTATAAAATACTGTATTTAGAAAAAAAAAATTTAGTATTTAAAAACTTCCAGGATAGTACCATAATTGATCACCTGTTCAGTGATCACCTGTTCAATGGGAATAGTAAGAAAAATAAGAGTCAGCATCATTTTGACAACTCCCCTTCTTAGACCTAGAATGAGTCGTAGTCAGTTTGGCTGATTAAGCATGGTAGTGTCCATCAGTAATGTTTCCATGTCACCTAAATTAACTGTTGGAGCCTCCATTTGCTACTAGTCAAGGCCACAAATATCTCTGGACAGTGCTCTGTGGATTCCTGGGTCTTAAATAACCTGTGTGGTTTCTGTTTCTTAATGTCCACCCTGAGTGATCTTGCAATGCTCCTTGCTTAAATGTCTCATCTTTGAGGCACAGATAGAATGGAAATTAGCAAGAGTCTCTTGCCCCCAAGATGAATTCTAGTAGCATAGCAGCACTTTCAACAGGAGGCATCTTCTGGTTTGAGGGTGTTGGTAGGTGCTTTGGAAAGGCACATGAGTCATGCAACCCAGTCCTCTCTGATTCTCCTCAGCTTCTGCTGAACTAACAGCAGTTATATTCATATTTTTATAGTCCTTTAAAATACTATCTTCTATCAAGTAGTAATATAATTAACTGGGTCAAACATAACATGGTTTTGAGGATAGAACTTAGTATGAGCTCTGTTGCTGGGTTGCTTGGGATAAATAACCACTTGATCTTAAAATTTCCTCGTCTTTAAAACTGGAGTGTTGGCAATTATAATACGCAAATAAGTTAACATATTTTTAGAAACTGGTCAAAGCAAGTGCTAAGTGTTAGCTTTCATCGTAATGAATAAAAATAGTTCTTATTCACTAGTTCTTTTAGAAAATATATCCTATTAAATGGAGGTGAAATGTAACAAATTATTTAAAAAGGGACTGCTTCAAGGGCCATGAGCCCCATCCATACTCCATGATCTCCCTCGCTTGTAGAAATGCCCACTGAACTGCTGGAGCCCTCAGCCAATATCTTAGAAATCCCCCTGACTGTACCCCCACCTCCTCCCCAACTCTCCCAAGCCAGAGTCTCACTGATGCTGTATGTCTTCCAAGTGGACACCTGAGGGTGACTCCAGATGTGCTAATCAGCAGTGGGGCAGCTGCAGTCAAATGCCAGCACCATCACCAGGGAAGCCACTTCCCCAGTCCCATTTAGGACCTCAGGCTGAGCAGTAAGAAGCAGTGGAGGCTGGTCAACATAGCTTCCCAGGGGTGCCCATCTGGTAATACTAGAGCCAGGGAAGGCCCATGTGAGGACTGCGTCAGTCCTCTTGGATTCACAGAAGCCAGTGACAATGGCAATGTCTAGAAGATAGAATTGGGGTGGGGTGAGAAGGGCAAGTTACTGGCACATGGGCACTAACAGTAGGATGCATACAAGAGCAGAGTCCTGATATGCCAACATTAAGTTTATTGGCTCATGGGGAAGGCCTGGCCTGAAAAAAATGGAGCACTTGGGAGTGAAGGGGTAAGCTTAGGGTAATAGCTATTTACCAAGTAGTAGGGAAGTACTTTTTAAGTTTTTTTTTTTTTTTTTTTGATGGGGGGGGTGGGGACTAAAACAAAGAAACCCAAGCAAAGCTGTGTTAGCCCTTAAAAAGACCCAAGAACAGAAGTCCCTGAAAATCCTCAGGAAGACTGGAACCCAGAACCAAGAAACCGCTGACTCACAAAGTTCTCTCTCTGCCTTTCTCTGTAAGGGCACACTTAAACACACAAGCTTTTCTGCTTCCAAGTTCACATACAACCACTCCGGTCACAAAGAGACGGGCTTTCTTTTCTTGAGTTTAGTTCCAAATTCTCAAGGACTGGGACAGATTGGGTCAGGATCATGTTTATCTATGGCCAGGATAACAGATTAGGTACCACCCTCAGTGAAGGTGGGTTTCTGGCTTAGTCACTGTTAATGGAGTGAAAGTCACTCAGTAGTGCCTGACTCTTTGCGACCCCATGGACTATACAGTCCCTGAAATTCTCTAGGCCAGAATACTGGAGTAGGTAGCCATTCCCTTCTCCAGGGGATCTTCCCAACCCAGGGATTGCACCCAGGTCTCCAGCATTGCAGGCAGATTCTTTACCAGCTGAGCCACCAGGAAAGCCTATTAATGGAATAAATGTGCTAACTTTAACCTTTTTCACAGATATGATTGAAAAGGCAGATGAATGTAAAAGACGCTGTATGCCATGCCTTGAAGTGAGAAATGAGCAAATGTGGTTTTATAAAAAATAGATGATCATTTCACTAAATGAGCTAAGGAATGCAAGTAACAAATTTGAAGAGACATAAACTAATATAATTTTGAACATGAGTTTAAATACCTGCTATACCATCCAGATAAACATGTGGTAAATGTATGAAAACAAGGCAGAGGCATAAACTTAGGGGAGGCAAGCATTTTTAGACAAGTTTACGTTTAGACATTGACTAGATGGACTAGTGAACATTTAAAATAAAACGTTTTCCCACAATAAATAAAACAATGTATTAAAACTCACTTCCACAATTCTCAAAATTATCTTAACATGATTTAATTAAAAAATTTTTTTTTCACCTTTAACTGGTAAGTTTTTTTTGGGAAATTTATTCAAAACACTAAATTTTCATTTTTGAACCTTGTTTATATTTATATAACAGAGGCCCTAAATTGATCCAAGTTCACCAGGATACCTTTCTTCAAGCCCTAATGGTTTATATCTTCCCTTTAAAATGTATAAATATCTTTTAATTAAGTTGTCATTCACAAAGATATTCTGGAGAAAAAAATTATGAATTAAACACCTATAAATTCTTCTTCATTTCTGTTATAGTGTAGCAATTTATCATCTAACCCATAATGGTCTATCAGCTGAGTAAGGCTTAGTTTCTTGTTCTCCTCAGACATAGCTGACTGCAACTCATAAAGCAACTGCTGGCTACAGCTTCTCCACTTCTCTATTAACAACTGTAACTGAGACAGGTCATTCTGAAACAGAAAAAAAAAAAAAGGCATGAATGTATGTCATCTTATTTTAACTTACTTAATAAAAGTTGTTAAATCAGTCAATGAGTAGTAGGTTTAAAGGGTAACACATTTGGACATGAATGGGACTTCTACCCAGAAAACAAGAAAAATGGTTTTAAGTAAAACCTTACCCTCAGGGAAAAAAAATTCAAATCATTAAATAAGGCAAAACTATGTAAAGAAGCAACAATATAGGTTAAAAAAAAATCTACTTTTTCTACTACAGCTATACTTTTAAAATTATATTCAAATTAATACTTTTCAGTGTCACAATCTCATAAAACTCTAGTTTTATTTAGAAAAATCCTAAAAATTCAAAAGAGCAAATAATATATAGCATTCCATCATTGATTACACACTGGAAAACAGCAATTACAATATACATGAATAATCCAGATAAATAAGGGTCATCTTCCAAGTGCCCCAATTCTATTCACTTCAACCTACCTGGGTTGAAATCTAAAATTTATTATATTTTTGTTGTTTTTCTTAAAAGAAAATGCTTGAAACATTTTAATAATTTGCTGGTAATAATTTAATAACAAAATCATTACTAAAAATACTTTTTATTGTATTCTGTGGCCCATTTTTAGCCTTTTTCTCTTCACTGTCACTGTTGCTTCTGTTCTTATTGCAATTTGCAGCTAACATTTGAAACTTCTAATACTGCTGTGGGATGGAAACTAGAGAGAAAAGCTTCAACTGCATATGAAATGTGGGTTGGGGCTTTCAAAAATGTATATCTGGTGTTTAAAGGCCTCTTCTCTAAATCTATGACTTATATTTGAGTTAAAGTTGTTGGAAGCCAGGTCTCTTGGTAACTGGCTTATTTCTCAGTATTGTAAAATAAACTTATATTTTCTTTTTTAAATACTTTCCTACCATT